TGCTGTTGTTTGTAATGGTACCACACACTTGTGCGATTCAGCTGGCTCACATGACAGCACAGAACCAAAAAACATGTGTCCCAATTTTTATCAGCAGAATGTTGGAGGGTATGGAATAAGCAGGAAACCCCCCAAATGCAGTAGGTTTAGCTTGCCCAACCCACAGTGATTCAGGGCTGTCTCCATTTGACTTAGACAAAGCCTTGATCTTCAGGAATAGTACCAATTCAGCTGAATCTGGTGCACAGCCCTAGTTGTTACAAAGATGTTGGAAATTAACACATAATCTCAATAAATTTCTACCCAGAAGTCTCATCCCATTCAGTTCAATAGGACTTACTTCCAGGTAAATGGGTCTAGTATTGCAGCCTAGGTCCATTGTTTTTTCTCTTGTGCAGACTTCCACAGTCTTCTATCCCCCAACCTTGAGAAATCATACCTATGCAATAACCTCATTTCTACCTTAACTAAAATATGGTTCTTCCTTCCCTTCCTTCACCTCCTTTGAGTCCCCCACTCCCCAACCCGGATTCAACCAACAATATCACTACTGACAAAGAACATCATTTAATTCCTTGCCTCTGTAAAACACTTTCTAAATTAGGATCTGACATTCAGATTGATTGCAAAGACATGAGGGCACCATAAACTGATGCATGGCAATCCCATCGTGTTGACAGACCATGTCAGCTGTGTGCCCTGGATGAGAAATGATCTATCTCCTCCAAGCTGTGAATTAATTCTCCTGATGATTTACTCAATTAGAAAGGAAGAATGAAGGTGAGGGGCGAGTAATTTCAGGAGGGTGGTCTATTTCCCAGGAAATTGATTTTTTTTTTTATGAATTAATGTAGCAATGATGATTACCATTGCAAGGTGACTTATACAAGCACTTATACAAACTCCTCATGGAACTCAAGGCTCACCCAGAGGTGCAGTTTGCAAAAGATTTCTATTGGAATTGCTGAGCACTCATTCTTTTGTTATGTTTTGTTTGACTACAACAATCCATGATGCATGCGTAGTGGTGAGCTAATGACTCTTGACTAGTTTCAGAATCAGCTTGCTAGGTACAAGCTTTCCCAGTAAGCATTCGATAACAAAAAGCGGCCTCTCGCTTTTCCCCTACACTATATAGATAGAGTCTGTTTGATAAGAGTTCTGGGCTAGTTTGAAGCATTGGGACAAGTGCAGTGATTATGGGTTATGAATGTGCATTCATGTATTTCCTTCTGTCAACTTCACATGGGACAAAGGGATGTAAGAAGGTATCGATCGTTTTTCCTCCCTGCGTTTGTCACATGCAGCATTGTGTCTGTTCAATTGCAGTTCACCTTCCACTGAAAACGATGCTATTCTCATTGTCCTCCGCAGCAAAATTATGTAGCTTGCATAATTTATGCAACGAGTTATGTGAATGCTGTCGTTTCACCCCATTTGTTCAATGGAAAGGAGCACAGATGCCATTGATTATGTCTCTTTTGCAGACGGAAAGCAACAACAGTGAATACCAATTGAATTCACTGGATTGATTTCTGTCCAAGACGTGGGACTAGAAAGTGAACACTGGTAATTTCGACTTCCATTTTCATTGGAATTCCCCAACAGGTTTTTGCAAAGGTAGAGAGGTGTGTGTGTGTCTTTGCTTTAGTGTTAATATTTACTAGTGTGATTGACAAGCAGTAGGTGGCAGTGCTTGCCACAACACCTTAAAATCTGTCTTTATGGTGACTGGCTTTCGATAGCTTCAAAAGGAAAACAATATATAGAAGCTTGCAGTCAGAATGTTGGCTGGTTCCAATCAACAGGTGAAATTCACAACACACACACACCTGCCCCACCTCCCATGGTCTCCTTATGGTTTCCAGCTCATAGAGCTTGAGGAGCAGCTGAAGGAAGAGGAGAGAACAGAGGGTGAAGTAAGAGCTGCGTGTGGAGGAAGGCAGAGATGAGGCAGGCCGTTGAAGAAGCCAGGGGGCCTCTCCCTCCTGTTGTCACCAGCTCCACTCCACGCTGATCTCCTAGGACCCACAGAGGTATGAAGAGGGCAGAGCAGAGACAGACAAGGCATCAGAGTCTGAAATTGCTTGGGAAGGACCCAGGGGATTAAGAGAGCCGTGGGAAGGCTGGGACCTTCAGTCCTCACAACTGCCTCATTGGGGCAAGATCTACTGGGAATTGTTGCTGGGCTCTCTAGGCCTGGGCTGTTTTGTTGACTTGAATAAACTTCACTGACACCTTAAAAAAATAAATTGGTTTTTCAGCTTAAAATTCCACAGTGATATATCAAACATAAATCATTAAAACAAGATTCCAAGGAATCTCCTGGACTTCCACCCTCCCTTATGTGGGTCCTATTATTAATCAGTTCCTCCCGCATCTTTTACCTCTTCCATTGTGTCCAGAATTCAACCTTAAACTACAAGTGATATTCCAATCCTACTAACGTTTCAACTGTTTACAATGGTCTTGAAGATAAGTTATAAATTTTCCCCATTCCTTGTTAAAAGTTCTGTCTTCCTGATTTCTGCCTCTTCTGGTCATTTTAGCCATTTCAGCATAGTCCATTAACTTCATCTGCCATTCTTCTCTGGTAGGAACTTTATCCTCTCTCGGTCTCTGGGCTAGTAATAGCCGTGCAGCCATGGTCACATACATAGTCTTTTCTGCTACTTTGGGATTTTTGGGTTGGGGAAAAAAAAAAAGTAACAAAGGTTATTTTAAACATTTTTTCCAACCCATTATACAGTAGTATCTCTGGCTAAAGACGCTTCAGCTTACAGACGCTTCAGGTTACAGACTCTGCTAACCCAGAAATAGTACCTCAGGTTAAGAACTTTGCTTCAGGATGAGAACAGAAATTGTGGGGCAGCAGCGGGAGACCCCATTAGCTAAAGTGGTACCTTTAGAAGGTTAAGAACAGACCTCCAGAATGAATTAAGTTCTTAACCTGAGGTACCACTGTATATCATAACTTCACTGACACCTTTTGAGTTACTGCTCCCAGCACCCACCTTGACACCAGTTGAGGCAGTTAAATCCTTGGACTGGGAGGTACCTGCCTCATCCAGCTTCTGTCCCCACGTCTTAACTGCTCCATTTCAGCATCCTGTTTCCCCTCCTCATCTGCCCCAGATAGGCATTCTGCTCTTGAGACTGGCGACAGACACCTCAAGACTCCTGACAGAATGCCCCTTCTGTCTGAAGTTGGTGCACCAAAAATAACAAAACACCATCTTATGCAGTGACCTAAGATGACCTACTCTAAAAGCCAGCCGTCTCACAAACACATTCCATCAACCAGTCTTGGGCATTCTAGAAGGAAGCTGTTTATGGCCGGGACAAATAAACAAATATGATCTGAGTTCCACCCAGCTTGTCATTCTCCCTAGCCCAGTGAATTGCATACATCTAAATGCAGAACAATGATTTATATGTAAAACAGCCACTAAATCCTTATACTCCTAAGCACAACTGATTCTTCTAATGCCTCGACCCTTTTTGGATGCTAGCCACGCTCTCCTGTTCTAATAAGGAAAGAAACAAAAAAAAAACCCCAAACCCAAGAAGGAACTGCCTGCCAGAGTTAATATAAGCTTGATGGCTGCAGGATCAGTCTTAGTGAGAGAAATGCGTTCAGCGACGCTTTACTTGCAATTTTCTTTTTCTTGTAGCAAATGAGAGGTGGCCCCTCTTTATTCAAATGCTGGGGGGTGGAAAGAGAGTTGGGAGTGAATAATGGAACAAAACATGAAAGGGCATTGCTAGCTTTCTGCCTTTTGACAAAAATGTAAGCTTGCCTTCTACAGATGCATGGAATGAAATGAAAGTTTAGTGGGAAGTTGCCTTGAGTCCTTTTCAGGGAAACAGGCAGTATATGATGATGATGATGATGATGATGATGATGATGGAGACTGAGAATGACCACAAACATACCAGAGAGCAAACCCTGTTAAACTCAGTGGGACTTAATTGCAGTGTAAGGCTGCCCAGTCTTGACCCAGTTACACGGAAGTAAGCTCCACTGAATACAATGGGGCTTCCTTCTGAGTAGACAGTGCAAAGCCCCATTTACAATAAACAATCCATGCATTTCCTTCAAAATGGCTTGCTGAAGAAGCATTGCAATTAGAGAATTTGAAGTGGATTGGTGATATTTTCCTTCAAAATTATAGGAAGGGCTTCATATGCCAGCTTCAAAATTTCCTTCATTTGGTGCAGGTATTTTGTTTTTGGGATAAGCAGGCCTCCATTTCTGCACCTACACACGCCATTTTTAATTGTTCTCCAAGACATGGAGCAAAAGGGGAAAGCGGGACATCCCAGGATCAAATCAGATACTGGGACAGCTTCTGCAGGGTTGCCCAGATGCCATTTTTGATGGACAAATCCTGGCTATGTCAGGGAAATTCAGGATGTGAGGCAGCCCTAGCTTCTGTAATTCTGGGACTGTCCCTGGAAAAATAAGGAAGCTTGGAGAGTACAGTGGTGCCTCGGGTTATGAACTTTATTTGTTCTGAAGGTCCGTTCTTAACCTGAAACTGTTCTTAACTTGAGGTACCACTTTAGCTAATGGGACCTCCTGCTGCTGCGATGCCGCCGTACGATTTCTGTTCTCATCCTGAAGCAAAGTTCTTAACCTGAGGTACTATTTCTGGATTAGTGGAGTCTGTAACCTGAAGCATCTGTAACCTGAGGTACCACTGTATGCTGGTGCTCAACCACCCACCCTACTCATGGGACCACTAGGAAGTGTACAGTATGTCCTGAAAGACCATGTTCACTCCCCCCCCCAAAAAAAAGCTTAGCACGAGAATGCATTCAGCCCCACCAATGCAAGTACATATATTTCTCCTTTTCTCCCTTAGCTTGTTAACAGTAGGCAGCAAGACAGCATCCTTACTATGCTACAAAGAGTCCCGGAAGATACAGGTGGACCTGAGCATGCCCTGGCTCCTGAACTGTGCTCTGGTTGCTAAGGAAACTGGATTTGTAGAACAGGGCCGGAGCATGTATGTGTTGCTTTTCACACTGAACCATCCGAAGCAAACTTGTAAAGGATAACGTTACCACAAAATAAAGACAGAAGATAGAGGTTTTCGCAGAAGCTTCCACCAACTGATTTATTCGGTTCTCCTCCATTGTTTGGCGTCTTTTCATTTGTGGATTTTGTTCAGAGTGTGCCACAAGCCCACTTTCCCCTCAGTTTTCCTTCGTGACTTCTTCCTTTGCATTCCTGGATTAATTTAGCTTTATTCAATTTTCAGTGCAAACAAAGATGCATATTTATATTGAGATAATTGAGGGAGAGAGAGAGAGAGAGAAAGATTCATAAATACAGATATACCTAAAAGAAGTAAATAAAAAAAGTTCACCAGTGTGAGAAAAAGGAAGCAGACAGAACAAAAGTTTTTAAAAAGATATATATTTTTTTAAGTGGGGGGAGGCTATTATCTGAAATTCACCAAACAGGAAGTGAGCAGTGAAATGTTATAAATCAACACATTTATTTTTTTCTTATTCCTATGCAGATATATACAAGAAAAACAGCATCTAGTGCTCCATCAAAAATAATCAGTATCACCCAAAATGCATTTTGCATTCCAAATAGATGGATGCCTAGCTGGAGCAGTCTGAATTTTAATTGCATCATTTATATATGTTGCCAAACATTTAAGAAGTTGTCCATTTTATTTGCATGTCAAACTGTATTTTGCATGTCAACTTTTCAAATGTTAATATAAAACACACCAGGCCTCTTTGCCAGTTACCTTCAGATGTTTCCAGCCTTTAGCTCTTAGCATTCATTCTGCAGCTAGTAGATGGAGGGCCAGAGTTTTATCATGATGGTCTATGTTCAATCCATCCCAGGCACCCAAAAGAGCCAATGAAGGCACTGGAAGTACCATTGCATGGCCAATACTAATGTGTTCATGTATTGCCAAGAAACGCAACCGTGTGCTGCTGCTATCAAGATCATTGTTTTGTTGATATCAAGGAGCTCCTGTAGGCATTGGTAATTCACTATGAAAGAAGAAGGTTGCTGTAATCATGATTTGAACATCATCAGCCACCTGAAGGTTGCTACATAGAAGGTGGATCAGATTAATCTACTGTTGCTCCAGAGGGCAGGACTAGAAAACCAATTGATGGAAAAGGTTCAGACATATCCTGACTCAAACAGGGACAATTAGGAAGGATCTGGGCTTCAGCCAGTTTGAGCGGAGACAACCCTGGGTTGGGTCAGGCTTCCCAGAGTGATCCAGGGCTGTCATGGGACAGGGCACTAAGTGGGAAAAAGGAGAGGCAGATTGTCCCAGCCGGAATGAATCTGTCAGGGACTGTGCTGAGGAGGGCTGCACTGAGGAGGAATGGTGGGAGTCACCCCCTCCCCCTCCTGCTCCTGAATCTTCCCAGGAGCAGGAGGACAGTATAGATTTGGAACAGTGGTTTGCAGAGGGGCATAGTTTAGAAGGCAGAAGCTGGGAAATACTGTTGTACCTTGGATCCTGAACACCTTGTGAGTCAAATGTTTTCGTTCCCAAATGCCGCAAACCCAGAAGTGAGTGTTCCGCTTTGCAAACATTCTTTGGAACCTGAACGTCCGACACAGCTTCCGATTGGCTGCAGGAGCTTCCTGCAGCCAATTGGAAGCTGTGCCTTGGTTTCTGAACATTTTGGAAGTCAAACAGACCTCTGGAATGGATTCCGTTTGACTTCTGAGGTACAGCTGTACTGGATGGGGAACAGTTAGGTAAAGGAACACAGGAAGAGAGAGGGTTAACAGATTCACAGTTGATGGACAGCATTCCTCCAATCTCCCCAAGGTCACAGAGAGCTCAGAAAGTTTCAGAACAGAAAGCACAGAGTCACTGGCAGAGGAAGAGGGGGTGGGGGGAGCGTGCCGCCCCTGGCAGTGCGATCCTTGTGGGGTGCCATCGTGGCTGCCCCCCCACCCGCACTGGATGCCATGCCCCCAGGACGCGTGCCACTGCACAGAGGGTACAAGCTCAGATTTTTCTTCTTCTTTGGAGGCCACTCGGAGCTGAGTAAGATTGTCTTCCATAAACACGGTTTTAACAATGTCTCTGTAAGTGACTGTGGAGGTCAATTCTGGATCCACATGTCCTTCCACAGTGGGGACATTGGTTTCCAGGCTGGAGTTGATCACAGTGTGGATTTGCCAAGTGTGCCTTCCTCTTAGCACATTTCTCCCTTGTGTCCTGAGTTCGAGTGTCTTCAAAGCCCATGACGCCTTTGGTAAAGGCTGTTCTCCAATTGGAGCGCTTGCAGGCCAGTGTTTCCCAATTGTTAGTGTTTATACTACATTTCAGATTACAAGACGCAGGAGTGACATCGATTAATAGGGCTGAAGCCTGACAGAATCCTCCACTCACAAGCTAGTAAGTGCAGAGTGCAATCCTTCTGGCTTCAGGATGCTGTTTTGCCTGCAGGGAATGTTGAGGAAACAGACCTCAGCAGGATTGTAAGAAAGGCATGGGTCACCATGGTCAATTTTGGTGTCTTAAGGACAGGGGCGAACGAAGGTGTCGTGACACCCGGGGCAGCAAACCTCTGTGTACAGCGTACATAGCGGTTTGCCGGCGCTGCCGCTCCAGCGCCATATGGATGGTGCCAGAATCCTCTGTTCATGGCTGTAGTGGCGATGGAGGGACGGAGGGAGCGTCGCTATGTACAGCACATACGTGTGACGCTGCACATGCGCTGTACATAGCAGTTTGCCACCGGCGCCGGGATCCTCTGCTCGTGGCTTCAGCCCTGAATGGAGGATCCTCCACATGTGGCTGTGGTGACACAATGGCTGCTTGCTCTGCTGCGAGTCCCCACAGGGTGCCTTCATGTCACCACCCCCCAGACATGGCACCCTGGTCGCACTGCCCCCCGCCCCCCCCATTGTGATGCCACTGCTTAAGGAACAGGCACAGGTCATAATTGTTCAAGCACTTGACTAATTTAGGACCATGAACTTAAAGGGACCTACTCCAAGTAGGACTCTCATTGGCTGTCTATTCCTAGTGTTTTATCTTTTTTTTAATACTTTTTTTTACTGAAAGTTGTCAACACAGAGTACATTAAAGCCGAACGAATCTTAAAAAAAAAGAAAAGAAAAGGGGGGAAAAGAAAAAGAAGGAAAACACTTCACACAAAGGAGTGTCTTATCAATGTGCATCTGTACACAGGTGATGCAGAGTGGTGAACGATGGAAATGAACTGGAAGAACTGGTAAAGAGCCCGAGCAGTCCATTACTTTGATGAAGTTTTCGCATCAAACACAACATTACATGAGATAAACTTGTGCAGTACAATTGTATGCAATATTTGTTCACATTACTGAGTGCTAAGGTACATTTGCTTCTACAGTCTTTTCTTCCCATAATTGTCTTTTTATGTCATAGTCCATTTCTCTGTATTCCAGGATATGTCTGGGCACAAATGGGTAAATAGCTCACACATTGTAGCAAGCAAGTATAACGGGGAGGCAATCAGCAGGGAGCCTGAGCAAAAACGCACCACCCTATTTGTGGGCGGCAAAATTGTAAGAGAATTCTACCAGATATTCTCTCCTGGGGGGTCAGGATGTGTATAATCAAATGGGGCAAAGGTCCAGGAAGACCTGTAAACGCCATCTTTGTAGTCAAGATAACCTCAAAAATGTGAGCTGTAAAAACGAGGTCTTATATGCCTATCTGCTTGCTTTGAAGCTTTGAAGCCTTAATTTTGGTTCTGTTAGTTGGAAGAGCCCCTTCATGGATCACTGCCTTGCCGTGGTGAAGGGGCTTGAATAACTCAGAGAAGCTATGAACTATGCCGTGCAGGGCACCCAAGATGGACAGGTCATAGTGGAGAGTTTTGACCAAACGTGATCCACCTGGAGCAGGAACTGGCAAGCCACTCCAGTATCCCTGCCAAGAAAACTCCATGGACAAAGACAACAGGCATATAAAAGTTATGATGCTGTAAGATGAGCCCCTCAGGTTGGAAGGCGTCCAACATGTTACCGAAGAAGAGTGGAGGACAAGTACAAGTAGATTCAGAGCTGATGAAGCGGCTGGGCCAAAGCCGAAAGGACGCTCAGTTGCGGATATGCCTGGAAGCGAAAGGAAAGTCCAATGCTGTAAATAAAAATATTGCATAGGAACCTGGAATGTAAGAACCATGAACCTGGGTAAGTTGGATGTGGTCAAAAATGAGATGGCAAGACGAGATGATTGGATAGTGTTCTCGAAGCTACCAGCATGAGTTTGGCCAAACTGTGGGAGGCAGTGGAAGACAGGAGTGCCTGGCATGCTCTGGTCCATGGGGTCACGAAGAGTCAGACACGACTAAACGACTAAACAACAAAAAGTTGGAAGAGGGAAGGCTTCTCATGTTGCTTGTCTGTCAGCTACCCTCTTATCTGAAAGATGGATGGGAGTGGGGAAAGGGCCTGTAAGCTAGGGGTGGCTAATTGGGCTATTGTTGCCAGCTTACGTAGCTTGCTTTTTCCATGAGTAGCCCATATACAATTAGCCCCTTGCAGACAAAGCCACGGTGCTTTCAGCTTCAGCATCCATCCTGAGGTGTGGCAGCAAGGAATCCTGCATTGCGTTGCTGTATGCAAATCTTTTGATATATCTCTATAGCAAAGCACTAGAACTGATCACTAGAACTGAGTTTTGTAGATCTTTCTTTGGAATCCCTGCAATGGGTCCTCGGAGCAATCCTTTGCCCCATACCGATGTTAAAACAGCTTCACTGACTCTGCACATCTATTACCAAGCCAGGTTTGAGGTCATTGTATTAATTTATAAAGCTCTGAACAACCTACCGTACTTTTCCATGTATAAGACTATGTTTTTTCCTTTTAAAAATCATGCTTAAAAGTGGGGGTCATCTTATACATGGGTAGTGCATAGGGTGGATGTTTGATTGGCTGCTGCCATGGCTGTCGGTGGTTATTGTGCATGTTATTGGTTGCTGCATCAATGGGTGGTGTTGATTGGCTGACGCTCCGGCAGTTGGGCGGGTGATTGGCAGCTTCTGCTGGCGATGGGACAGACAGGAGGTGGATTTTTTGACACATGCGGGTGAGCACCCCCCCCAAGAAAAGCTCAATAACTCTGGGCAATCCTCCACAAATTTGAGACCCCCAAAATATACATCTTATACATGGAGGCGTCTTATAGATGGAAAGGTATGGTATGTCCAGGCTGTCTTAGGGACTTCTTGAACCCTTAAATCCCAGTTTAATCACTGAGCTCATTTGCAGGTGGGTCGTTGGTCGTTCCCCGAGTTGGCAGGGTTCATTTGACAACCAGAAACCAGAAACCAAGCCTTCAATGTCATTGACCCAGCCCTAAGAAACAACACTGTCAATATAGATTCAGTAGTTGTGTTCTGTGCTAATTTTTAAACACCTGCTGAAAACTTTTCTATTCCATCAGGGTTATGCAGGCAATTAAGGGCACGTCTTTCCACAACAGTTGGCTGATTTCTGACTTTAACAACCACAGGATTCACGACCTCTGGAGCAAGGTAAGCTTACCCTCTCTGATAATATGAGCAAGTAATGAACGAGACCGAAAGGGGAGTAATGAAAAGAAAGTACCCATTTGTTACTCTGCACATGCATTGCGGAGCAAATGAAGATCGAACCAAATGGGCCCTGTTCAATTCCTCACTCTGAAATGAATGTGCACCACGATTTCATGGGTACACACAGCAATTCTAGCACGGGAGAGTGAGTGTGATAGATAAAAACTAAAGCGTTCTTCGTCTCAATCAGCTGAGAGGTGCCAGACTTAGCAGGGCAAAGAGCAGTTCGTCTGTACCACACAGACAACACCCTGAGGGCACCCGGTGAAGTCTCGTCTCATTGTTTCTCTTGCCTTGGAAGTGTGCTGCACATTAAGGGAAAGAGCCAATTTTCTACAAGATTACCTGAGACAGCTGCTACATCAGCTACTCAAATGACCCCAAGAATATAGAAGAGACTTCATATCCACTGTTGACTTCGGATAAATGTTAAAATATTTCAACCGTTTCATCCCCATTGCATTTGCTGCAATATATGTATGCTGTGTATATGGTATATTTAAAATGTTTTGCATCAAGTTCTGGACAGACCTTTTACGTAGCGGACTTTCTGACAGTAAGAGTTGTTTGGCGGAAGACTACCTCCTTCCCTGGGTTTTTAAAAACAAATGTTGGGTGGTCATCTGCCAGGGATTCCTTAGTTGTGATGGAAACAAGAATGCCAACTTGAATAAAATATGAGGGGGCAAGTAAAAAAGATAAAGGTAAAGGACCCCTGGATGGTTAAGTCCAGTCAAAGGTGACTACAGGGTTGCGGCGCCCATCTTGCTTTTCAGGCCGAGGGAGCTGGCATTTGTCCACAGACAGCTTTCTGGTTCATGTGGCCAGCATGACTAAGCCACTTCTGGCGCAACAGGACACCGTGATGGAAACCAGAGAGTATCGTTTACCTTCCTGCGGCAGTGGTACCTATTTATCTACTTGCACTTGCATGCTTTTGAACTGCTAGGTTGGCAGGAGTTGGGACAAAGCAACGGGAACTCACCCTGTCGCGGGGATTTGAACCGCCGACCTTCCAATTGGCAAGCCCAAGGGGCTCAGTAGTTTAGACCACAAGCTACCCGCTCCCATATGAGGGGGAGCAGGTAAGCCCCGCTCCACATAATCAATTACAAGATGCAGTGGACATACAGCATTTGAATGGCAATGGTCATCATATCGGAGGGCACCCTCAAATATTTTATTGGGAGGGGGGTCAAAGGGACCTCAGCCCCTATGAGTTGGCTCCTATGGATTCCAGCACTGCAGGTATTAGGTATTTGTATTAGGTGATCACTGGGGTCCCTTCCAACTCTACAATTCTACAAACACACACACACACACACACACACACACACACACACACACTTACACTTGACCAGCCCCACCCCTTGCTGCTGGTGGTTACACATCTCAGTAATAGAGCCATAAATGAACATCTTATTAGTTTAATCCTGAATGGGGGCATACACAAATCAGCCACTTGGTTCAGTTGATATCATTTAAGACTCCCATCCATCTTAGTCAGAGGAGTTGCCTAGCTCAATTCATCAAAGCCGAGACAAAGACTCCCAGAGAGGAAGAGGGAGGGAGGAGGCTACATAATAACTGAGTTGCTCAGTATGCAACATATTTAATCATAATAAAAGAAAATGTGTTTGTTTATGTGTGGGGACGTTATCTTGATCCTACTGAGACTCTCCACTTGGGATTGTGTTTGCAGGTCATTTAGAAGGTTTTGCAGGCACAAAGGGTTAGATATCCAATGCTTTTCCTGCTCAAAGTAGAACTATATAAAATAATGGGTATGGCTGACTAGGGTCCATTAATTTCAATGGATTCACTCGGAGTAAAACTGAGTTGGGCAAAACCCTTAATCTGGTGACTCACTAATTTGAGGGTGCAGGTTCCCATGAGAACATTTCAAAGGTCTCTGTCATCTGCACAGTTGTTGAATTAGAAAACCTGATTTAGAAAACGAATTATCCCAGCTTATAAGAGTCAGATGCATTTCTGAACTGAGCAACCCCTCCCACTTGAAAAACACCACCATGTATCAAAATAATTCTGGCTGTAAATCACGATTGCACAGCATCAGTCCCAGCAACTAACAGTCCACCTGAAGCCTCTGGGCTGGCCAGGTTTGGTCTAAATGTAAGTCGTTTGCCCTTTTTTTTCTCCTTTGCTTGGCCAACAGAGAAGGAACATTACGCTGGCTGATTTATCCAGCGAGTGACCTCGAGGTGCCTGGGCTGGGGAACACAGACTCCAAATCTGGATACAGACATTGACTGAAGACGTGTTTCATTGTCTTAACGCAGTAGTGCACTGGTTGCAGTGTGATGGCTGGATTGCTAAAAGGCTAATTATGGCTGGCTGGTACTTGTATTCCAGTTAGATATAGATTGCTGGAAGGCTGCGCTTGGAGACAAATTGACAGGGGTTATTGCATTGCCATTTCTCTTCTTCTATCTCTGCCTTATTAACAAGTGTATTCTTCTTGTGGCACACTGATTACCTCCTCCCCACCCCCACCCCAACCCTCTCTCCTCACCTTTTCCACAGTACCTGGGATGCATGCTAATGAAGCAATGCTTTGGCTAAATGGAGCAGGTTCTACAAATTCCCAACAATAAGCCAGCTGGGCTGGGGCTGGCTGAAGTCATTTTGCTGAATGTCTCAGGGTGTCCCTAAGTGTTTGATGGGACTGTGCATGGGACTGAAAAGAGCCTAGACATGGAAAACAAGTTCATGCCCTGCAGTATGAAAAAATTAATTCGGAACTCAGGACCTCAGAAGTAAAATGCATGGGCATGTGCAGAGTGCACCTGCCTTGCCAATGAGGAACCCCTGTATAGGTGGGTGCCTCCAGACTGTGAGGAGGGATGCAAGCATACATCAGAACTTTAGATTTGTACCATTAAGGTGCTCTTGTTGCTCTAGCACAACAAATTCACTTTTTAATGCCTTTTTTTTTTGCTGTTTGGAAAGTGATGGGAAAATGCGCTGAAAACTGTGAGACGAATGAATGATTAATGAGAAGGGTAAATTCTCATTGTTGTATAAGCTCCGCATAAGTGAATAGGAGCAAATGCTCAGAGACTGGACATACAGTCTAAATCAGAGGTCGGCAACCTAGGGCCCATGGGCCAGAAGCAGCCCATGAGGGTTGCTTAACTGGCCCTTGAGCCGCCCCCGAATCAAGCCGCCCGCTCGGCGAGTCCCCGCGTGCTGTGCTAAACTGGCACAGCGCTGTGCGGGGACTCTTTTCCACAGCTCCGGAAATCACTTCTGTGCATGCCCAGACGCCGAAAATCACTTCTGCGCAGGCATGATTTTTGGCATCTGGACATGCGCAGACATGCGATTTCCGGCATCACACTGCACCAGTCCAGCCCATGGAGGATCTCCGCGGGAGTGATCTGGCCCATGCCCAGTAAGCCTTGCCAACCCCTGGTCTAACTATCATCAGGATGGTCTAACTATCATCACTATAATCAGGATGAGTACTGAATTAAGGGATCATCTGAGGGAAGCTGTGTGCTGCTTATTTTAGCTCTTTGAGAGTTGTTAGATAGTGGAACAGGCTCCCTTGGAAAGTCACAAATGCTCCTACATTGGAGATGTTTAAACAGTTGTTGGGTGGCCTAGGGTTCTTTAGCTATGACTCCTGCCCTTAGGGTCCTTTCCAATCCACAGTTCTATGATTTCAGGTGTTTATTTCCCATTGTTTTTAGAGAGAGACTCTTCTGGCGCCTTCATTACATATCTTCAAGTGCCAGGCAAAAACATTTCTCTTCTCCCAGACCTTTGTCTAATTAAATTATCGATGGCCTTTTTAAATGGTGGGTAGGTTTTGTTTGTTTGTTATGCATTTTGGAGTTTCCACGCTGTAAAAAGAGGATCAGGTTGATGAGCCCCATCTGCCCCTCACTTCCTTCTACAGCAAGTGCAGAAACCACTTTCATGACCGTTGGACCCACGATTGGTCTTGACTGCTCAATCTGCCGTAGCCAGTCTTTGCATGCAGGTGAAGTCCCTAACTGAGTAAGGGTTTGAGACCCATCAGCTACCCTCACCAGATCCTAAGTCTCCTCTGCCTTGCATGATATCTTCAGGGCTGCTAAAGCAGTGGTTTGACTTTGCTCCCGGAGGCACACTCCATTATCTCTCAAAATGGATGGCAACAGATAATAATAATAATAATAATAATAATAATAATAATTTTTATTTATACCTTGCCCTCCCTTGCCAAGGCCAGGCTCAGGGCGGCTAACAAGCAATAATAAAAACTAGTTGAATGAATACAACTTAAAAACAAGATTAAAATACAACATTAAAATATTAAAACATTAAAATACAGCCTCATCACAGGAGGAGAAAGGAAAAAGAAGAAAGAGGGGGAGGGAATAAAATTGGCTCCAAGCCAAAGGCCAGGTGGAACAACTCTGTCTTACAGGCCCTGCAGAAAGAAATCAGATCCTGCAGGGCCCTGGTCTCATGAGGCAGAACGTTCCACCAGGCCGGAGCCAGAGTTGAAAAGGCCCTGGCTCTGGTTGAGGCTAATCTAACTTCCTTAGGGCCCAGGACCACTAGGGTGTTGCTATTTATGGACCTTGAGGCTCTCCGTGGGGCATACCGGGAGAGGCGGTATGTAAGCCCCTCTGTGATCCTTGGGTGAAGGGTGGCATATAAATTTAATGAATAATAAAATAAAACAAAATTTTCACAGCAAAAAGTGTGGATTTTGAAGCATAGCGGTGTTTCAGTTTGCATATTGTTTCACAAAGTAGGCTCACCTATAAATGCAAATTTCTTCTCCAGCGCTACTCCCAAAGGCCACATTTGCCAAGAAGAACAACCAAAGGCAACTTACAATGTCAAAAGCACCCATAATTCCATGATTTCACCTTCAACAGATATTTGCCTAGCCCACATGGTGGAACTTCTCTGTGCTTTCTGGTTGCTATAACTCTGTCTAAATGGCACCGTAATGTTCTCTTTTAACTGCCACTTAAAAAAAAAAAAAAAAAGGAAGAAAAAGCCCCCTCCTAAGACCCCATAACTGTTAATCATGTTAAAAGGTGTTGGAGAGGCCAATTTCTCTAATGGCATTAAAATGTCGCCTGTTCCTGCCCTCCTTTCGGAAGCCTCCTTTATGGGGGAGCGCATGGTATCTAGCACTGTGGGGCTTTAATAGGCAATCAGTGAAATCTCATCATGGTTTTATTTATGCTGCCAATTGGGACATGCCAATGACTTTTCACCCAGGGGGATTGTCCCGGTTGAGAGACAACAATGTGGGACAGAGCAGCTGGAGTGTAAGGAAGCAAATGCAACACCTGCTACTCCTCATGTGATTCCCCCCCCCCAGCAGATATGGACATTTCCCCCTTTAGATGAGCATAGGTGGGCTCTGCCACAAAATATTACAGGATGACGTGCTCCTGTCCAGAGTGCCAGCCAAGTATGTCCTCCCCAAGATTACTCTATCCTAGTGTGGTCCATGGATCCTTAGTGTTTGGTAGAGCTTCATTCTGGTGGTCCATGGAACTGGCTGTGGTGGGAACAGGTACTCAGGAAGTTGCTTGATACTGAGTTAGGCCATTGGTCTATCTCAGGGGTCAGCAACCTTTTTCAGCCGTGGGTTGGTCCACCTTCCTTCAGGCCATGTGGTGGGCCAGACTATATTTTGAAAAAAAAATATGAACAAATTCCTATGCCCCACAAATAACCCAGAGATGCATTTTAAATAAAAGGACACATTCTACTCATGTAAAAACATGCTGATTCCCGGACCGTCTGCGGGCCGGATTGAGAAGGTGATTGGGCCTGATCTGGCCCCTGGGCCTTAGGTTGCCTACCCCTGGTCTATCTAGTTCAGTGTTGTCTATACTGTTTTCTGGCTCTCACCAGATAAAGGATTCAGACTCCGATTGTAGATGTGTTATGTTTCCTTTGAATAGCTTTAAAAAAGGTTGATCGGTACATCACCCAATGTCAGGGGTGCCAACTTAAACAAAATAAGGGAGGCAAGTAAGCCCTACCCCCCATAATGAATCACATGATGTGGTGCGCGGACACCTTTTGCATGGCAATGCCCATCAACTTTGGGGGGCAGCCTCCTCAAATATTTTATTGGGGGGGCAAAGGCCGCTCGGCCCCTAGGAGTTGGCCCCTATGACCAGTGATGGAATCTTCTTCCTCTAAGGAAGCCCTGTCCATTCTGGAACATGTCCAGAGGAAGGCAGAAAATGTTATAAAGGGCAGATCCCGGCAGGATTGCATTCTCTGCTTATCAGCCGGTTCCCACATCAGGGCCGATACTGAGTACCTGATCATGTCCTAGATTGGTGTGTGCATGTGTGTACATACAGAGCCCTAATTAAGAGAGGATATTTGAAGGTCTGTCATACAAATTCATTTTCTCTGCTCCAGAGAAATAGGAAAAAAATCAACTTATGAGAAAGAGGAAATTGACTAAGCCCAAGGAAATAACACCCCAATATTACAAGCTGTTCTACAGTGGAACCGTTTGCTTGGCATGTGGTGAGCTATTCTACATGAGAAGTTTTTGAGCAGAGACTGGATGGCCACGTATCAGGAATGGTCTACCAGTGGATTCCCTGCAATTTGAGATCCCTTTTGTCTCTATGAATCTGGCTTGGTTCTCAAAGGAAGGCGATGGGGAATAACAGCAGCAGTTCACTCCAGTTGAAGGATATTTCAATTCACTGTAAAGTTGTTAAACCCATCAGCTGAAAATCCAGCTTGTCCTTGTCTGGTCCAAGAGTAGTAGTAGTGAGGCTTAACGCTCTGTTTTTAATGGGAAGTGCCTGCAATGACGAATTGGGAAGGCGAGTGTTCCTGACAGTGATTAAGGGAAAGTTTAAAGCTTGCATTTAGATAAATTGGTTGGAAAATCCGATCCACACACTCTTTTCAAATATGATTATACAAACATCATTTGCATAAATATTATAATTAAAATTCTGCCTACAGCGTAATGATAAAAAAGGAAGCTGAGAGAAAATGGTATTAAATGATCAAGGGAGAAATATCTGAAATGCCACTGTGTGATGTTCTCAGCTTTCTGTTAAATAAGTAATTTATTGCAATATTCTCAAACAGAAAGGAAATTAAGCTTGATCCTGAAGGCCTTATCTTTGATGGTTTGATTTTGTTTCATCGGCTATCGTAACTTTCAGGCAGAACACCCAAAGTATCAACATAACTACCTTAAATTGGAACACTGGATTACCTTTAAGAGCTTTTCAAGTTCAGCATTGTCACCTACATTGATGAATCATGACTTATGATTCATGGCTTACAACAAAAATTATTTAATAGTGGAGTTTGACATTGTAATGTTGACATATTTAAAGTGGATTCGGGGCTTAGAGATTAAAGACTACCATGTTCAGGATGCTAATAAAATTGACTCACTCTCTGGCGTCAAACAATCCACTTTCTTGTGGTTCTTGTTTCTGAGATCAGTCTGCTTTTTTATTCAAGTCTTTGTATACATAAATTTTATTTGTATGCCGCCTTTCCACAGTTCAAACTATGCTGAAGGCAGCTTACAATATGAAAAAATATATAACTACACCATAACTACACCATAACAAAAGTACAGTGCTACCTCGGGTTACATACGCTTCAGGTTACATACGCTTCAGGTTACAGACTTCTCTAACCCAGAAATAGTGCTTCAGGTTAAGAACTTTGCTTCAGGATGAGAACAGAAATTGTGCTCCGGTGGCGCGGCGGCAGCAGGAGGCCCCATTAGCTAAAGTGGTGCTTCAGGTTAAGAACAGTTTCAGGTTAAGAACGGACCTCCAGAACGAATTAAGTACTTAACCCGAGGTACCACTGTAGTCATTAAGCAAATACTCAACCAAACCGAACAGTTCCCACATAAATCACAGTAAGATCTATACTGTACTAAAGATTAAAAAAAAACCAACAATCAATACTTCTAAGACACAGAGAGGTCAAGATCCTGCAGCTTCTGCTCTGCAGCCAAACATTGTGAAGTTTTTTGTTCCCAGGGAAAAGAGAGTCTCCATTTTCTCTGCTGGATGCACCTCTTCCACTTTTCTTGCACCTCTGATGACCCAGGAAGCAGAGGTCCATTTGCTAAGCAGCAAGGTTAAATGGAGTTTTCTTCTCTTTGTTTTTTGTTAGATTATGCAACACAGCAGCCAAACGATGACAATCCCGAGTGTGCTGTAGACCCAGAAATGTGTGCATCCTGAACCTGAAACAGGTATGTTAAGGAAGAATTGAAGCACGCAGGATTCATTTTGCTGATAAACAAGCTGGTACTCTCCAGCAAGTCCTTCACAAGCATTCTTGATAGCAAGGCCACTGTCAGATATATATTGAAGTGCTCTTCATGGCTTTGGTATGACTCTGTATCCATGACAGGTTTTTCTTCCTTGCTTTGAAAATACTTTAGCTCTCCATCTCTGGTGAAGGTAACGAGTGCTGCGTGAGCCTCATCCACCTCCTACCCCTGCACCCTACAAAACAAGTGGGTTTCCAAAGAGTCCTGTTGAATTTTTTCTCCTTTTTTTAGTCAGGTCCGGTGCATGTCTCCTTGTGATTGACTTTGCCTGGGACTGCAGGGGCTCAGGAACCAGTGTGGTGTAGTGGTTAAGAGCGGTAGACTCGTAATCTGGTGAACCGGGTTCGCATCTCTGCTCCTCCACATGCAGCTGCTGGATGACCTTGGGCTAGTCACACTTCTCTGAAGTCTCTCAGCCCCACTCACTTCACAGACTGTTTGTTGTGGGGGAGGAAGGGAAAGGAGAATGTAAGCTGCTTTGAGAATCCTTCAGGTAGTGATAAAGCAGGATATCAAATCCTCCTCCTCCTCCTCCTCCTCCTCCTCCTCCTCTTCTTCTTCTTGAAGCAATGGGGAGGCAGGGCTTCTTCATCTCACAGTGGTGCTCTCGCCACATCTCATGGAACTGGGAATATCCTACAAGACCCCGCAGGGGGACGGGGCCTTTAAAAGACCCTGGCCTTAAGAGTTGAGGGCCATTTTGCCCTATGAGCTTCACACCCAGCCACCCTCAGTGATAAAAGTCTCACTGGGCTACTTGGATCATTGGTTGACAGGCCCATAGATCAGAAAGACACCCAAACTCTGAACTGTTGGAGCTTCTAGGTGATCCAGATGCTTACATACTCTTCAACATTCAACAACAACAGCAGCAACAACAACAACAACAACAACATCCTATCTGACTGGGTTGCCCCAGTCACTCTGTGCAGCTTCCAACAATATATATATATATATACATAATAAAACATTTAAAAACTTCCCTATACAGGTACATCCTTCAGATGTCTTCTGAAGGTTGTTTAGTTAGTTATCTCCTTGGCTTGGGGGTCACATAACTCCATACCCTCCAACATTTATCCGGTGAAAATAGGTATGTCCCAAGGAAAAGCGGGACATTTGAAGTGTATGTTGCTGTTGTTAATTTTGCTGTCTGGTCTTTGACCGCAATAAAGATTGATTGATTGAAAGTGGGACATTATGAAATCAAATCAGAAACCGGGACAGCTTCTGTAAACCTGGGACTGTCCCTGGAAAACAGGGATACTTGTAGGGTCTGCTCTTATCTAGCGTTTGGTTTCCTCAGAATGAGGGACAGCGGAGACTGTGGTGTCTTTAGGATATATGGTTTATTTTCACATTTATACAACCCGAGCCTACATTGGAGGGGCTCACAGCATTAACACCCCAAGAGGGTCTTACTTGTCCCATAGCTGCAGCCTTGGATCTCAGCAGAAATCAGGCATGACTCTGTCTCTCAGCTGCCCAACCTGCTTCCTGCTCCTAACTTCTAGCTTACACACTAAAACTCTGGCTCTTGTCCTTCTAACAAGCAGTGAGGTAGAGGTAGGGGTGGCCCACCCACTGCTATTTTTCTAGAAAAAGAGTTGCTGGAACTCACTATAAGATAATGCTTCACTTGTCCTCTTATTATGGCAATGGCTCCCATCTGAGAGGTGATGGAACTGAAAAAAAGCCCTAGGCCCACCATTTGCTCTCCGGGCCAGAGCCACTTCCTTTGCTACTTTAATAATCTATACTCAGGGAGACATTTCTGTTATGTATTCAGTGGTCTGTGTCTGCCTGAGCTTGAGTCTGGACTAAGGATTCTGAGCCCCTGTGTTCTGAATTGATACATGATATCCAATCACAGAACATTTCAGAATTTGGGCCTCTGCCATTGGCCCTTAAACTCTGAGTTATGATTCGCAGCTTGGAAGTTTAGACAGCCAATCACATTGGGAGTGGGAGTGGCCCAGGCCTTCAGAAATGTATATAAGCAGTTGCTTTGCCCCTGTTGTCCAGTTCTGTTAGTTCAATAAAGATTCTTCCTGTTATCACTGTGTCTTGCCTTGTGGGAACCCACCTACACTTCAGTTTACCAAGAAGCTGGCCTGGCTGTTTCAACATTGGGATCCTCCATTAGATTTTACCCTTGCAGGATCCAGGAATTTTTAAACCCAGTCAGATGAGTGGGGTATAAATAATGAAAGTATTATTATTATTAGAAAGGACTCAAGCATGCAGCCTACCCCTTCCAACTCACAACACAATGCATGGCTAATATGCTGCCAAGCCAGGTGTAAGGTAACCTATAAGACTCTATACAATTCAGGACCATGCTGCTTAGAGGCCACCTTCTTCCTTAGAGGTCACTGCGGTCTGCAGGGCAACTTCTTTTGCAAGTTCCAAAATATATCAGAAACCTGCTCCATAGTAACTTGGAGTAGGGCTTTCATGTGTCAGCCCGTTTCGTGGAGTAGCATTCCTCTCAAGATACAAGAGGCACCCACTGCCTGCACTTTTCACGAAATAGTGGAAGACATTTTTCTCCTGATAAGCTCTCGCAGCTGGATAACTAGGTCTCTTACCAGGGGGGCTCTGCTTTGCATTGTTTTTAAAGGTCATTCGCTCTTGTTTTCTGTGCTGTTTTATTATGCTGGTGTACATCAGCTTGAGGCGCATATATGGAAGGTGATTAATAATAATAAGCCAGGAATGGGAAAAAATCATATTTTTGGTAAGTTTGATATGATTTGCCATGAATGTTCCGTTATTCCAGAACTATGTCCTTCATGCTTAATTTATCCTTCCATTTCTTTGAAAAACATATGTTATTATTTTCTTACATTACAAAATAGCGAGAAACAGTATTAGATCAAAACCCACACTCCCACCCTTTCTGAAGATGTGAGGTCAGCCAACCCACCCAAAAAGTGACTTTTTGTTTCATTCTCCTTACTATTTTTAGTTTAGTGGATAATATTTTCTAACAGGGCTAATTGCCAGGCATTTTTATGCCATGTGGTCATTGTCACACCTTCCAAGGATTTCCAATATCTAGCTAGTACTAGCCTGGGTGCTAATAAAAGCTGGTCAATAAGATCCTTAAAATGCAGATTTATATTGTCCCCTAGGTAAAGATTAAGTAAAGCCAACTCTGGGCTTTTTGTTTTGTTATTCCAGAGTGATGCCCTTCATGTTGAATTTATAAGGTTTCCATTTGCTGTTGTTTCTTGATGTGCTTTGGGACTCAAGTTCTTTGCACAGAAGCAACTGCTGGGCCAAGTTTCCTTCTTTGGGTTCAGTGGAACTATTGCTTGCATTGCTCATGTTTCAGACGACGTATTGATGCATTTATTAGCTCTCTATGGGCAATTGCTGCATTGTTCTGTGGTTCCAACTTAAATAAAAATGGTTCACTTTTAACCGTTGCACACTTTTCTTCCAACTAAGCTTTGTAGAACCCAAAGAGGCAGAGTTTACATCTACTAAGAAGTCCCACTGTATTCCGTGGGATGACTTTCAGGTAAATGCATTTAGGGTCAATTTTCAGTCAATTTTCTGAAATACTCTGGTGAGTCTCCTTCTTCTTCAGATTGTGCACACTAATTCGGTTGCAGATCTCATGCAGAATGCTGTTAGATGACTCCCAAGAAGAGCTTCAATCAGGAGCTCATTGTCTGAGCAAAACCACTCTTCATAAGGGCATCTTCTTGTCAGGGACATGCTAAAATGTAAGATCCATTTCCTCTTCAAAACATGCAGTAGGCATGATCCAAATCACAGCTGATGAGTTATCTCAATGGCTCTAATGTTAGATTTTGGGGTTGCCTACAGAAAGTGTTGGTAACTGACAGTTGGTTCAAAACAGTGGCCAGGTTGTTTACCAGGATATACCATAAGAAATGTACTTCACCATGTTGAAAGATCGTCTCTGGCTTTCTGTTTCTTTGGCTGGGGGGTTCAATTCAAGATCACAATTTACTTAAGCTCAGAACCTCCTTATCCCACACAAACCTGCCGACAGCTGATGATTTGTGCAAGATTCTTCTACTTTCAGATGTCTGGTGGGAAGCTTAAGCTACAAGTGACAAGGTCTTTGGGGTGAAGGTGCCTCGACTTTGGAATGACATAGTTCCTCAGCACCTACATTACAATCTTGAGAGCCAGTGTGGTGTAGTGGTTAAGAGCGGTAGACTCCTAATCTGGGGAACCGGGTTCGCGTCTCCGCTCCTCCACATGCAGCTGCTGGGTGACCTTGGGCCAGTCACACTTCTTTGAAGTCTCTCAGCCCCACTCACCCCACAGAGTGTTTGCTGTGGGGGAGGAAGGGAAAGGAGAATGTTAGCTGCTTTGAGACTCCTTAAAGGGAGTGAAAGGCGGGATATCAAATCCAAACTCTTCTTCTCTCTTCTTTTAAGTGGCAGCTGAAGGTTCCTGCTTTCTCCAGATTTGACTAAAAATTAGTTTCAGATCAATTTGGGCTGTTATCATTGTATTTCAGTCACTGCTGATTTTTTAGTACTTATCCGTAGTAATTGCATACATACTGCATGCTTTATTTTGTGTTAAAATTTCGTATGCCGCTTTGTATGGAAAATTGATGAAGTCAGGGAAATAAATAAATAAGGAATTTTGCATTCTAAAACATCTAAAACGCTTATCCAGGTGTCCGTGTGTATAGCATTCAGTGATTTAATTATTCAGCCCAAGTTTCATGTCCTGTTTCCAGCATTCTGTTCTTCAGAGATGGGGGCCCTGTGGCCCTCAAGATGTTGTTGGACTGCAACAACCATTATTCCTGGCCAATGGGCACGGGGGTCCGGACAGTGGCAACATCTAGAGGACCAGAGGTTCCCCAGCCCTGCTGTTACATGGAGCCTCCTTAGATTTCCAGTGTTCTACAACTATCTGTTCACTGAAGGAGATTTGGAGAAGCATTCTCTATCATCCCTGTTCCTGGATGACTCCCACTCTAAGTCAGGCTCCTTCAAGATACACATACACACAGAGAGAGATAGAGAGAGATTGAGATTTTGAATGTAAATTTACTTGCATCCTGTTTTTTCTTTCTCCTCCTTAGAGTTCAAGGGGGTCCCATGTGGTTTTCCATCCATGCACTTAGCTGAGCCAGATCTGCATAGCTTCTGTGAGATTGTTGCACTGTGTGCTTTCAAGTCATACCTCTGGGGCCAGAGCCAGCTCTAGGTCTTTTCTGGGGGGAAAAACCACACACCTTGGAAGGTTCCTCCTGTGTGGTTGGACCTCTCCCACCATTTTCCATTTTGGTGCAATTGGTTTATTTTGCACATTCCAGGACTATTTTGCACAAGCCTGTGTTCTGTTTTCATGTGGAAAGAACAACAACGAGCAATGCAGTCCATTGGATCTGAAAATTCACAACAGGAAGCAGATTAAACATACAAGTGAGTGAGCCTCACCGAATTCCGTGGGATTTATTTCTGCAGAGATATGGATAGGAGTGCAGCCTTAGTGCATATAGTCTGCCTTTGGCAACAAACAACACTTAGAAATAAGAAAAGAAAGCAGCACCTGAATACATGAATGGCTATGTTAAAAAAAGTGTATTGCAAAGCAGTCACATAACAATTAACATATAAAGTTTGCTGTGGAGAACAAAGGTGCAAGAGTCTTTGTAACAGCAGTGGGGATCAGATAGGCAGGCAGAAGGAAATCTGATTAACAGTCCATTTTCAAAGGATTCCTCCAACAATCATAGTGGGTTGAGCTCTTCCCACCTCATTTTTCTTAGCAACTATAAGCATCAGCAGAGCAATGTCAGATGGATCCTGTGAGTCACTCCGGTGTAAAATGCAACTGACAACAACACACCTGCCTGGGACCAAAATGACAGTTCAAAAATCACTGTAAATAAAAATGTAAGAACATAAGAATAGTCTGCTGGACCAGGTTGATGACCCATCTGGTCCAGCATCCAGTGGCCATCCAGATACCTGTAGGAAACCAGGAAGCTGAACACGAGCACAAGAGCCCTTTCCCCTCGTCATGTTCCTCTTTTACTTCCTTGGCCATTATCTGGACGGCAAGCAGCTGGGACCTTGCAACATGGCAGGGAGAACTCAGAGCTGTTTCTCCTTCCTTTCCAATCTCAAAATGCACAACCGTGATGCAGTCTGTTGTTTACCTGAATGAATCATCTCGGGATTCACACAAGGAGATTTCAGCCTCCAAAACAGCACTCAAGTCAACATTTGTGTACCGCTATGTGAGGTTCGGGAAACATCTGGGCAGCAGGAAGGCTGACACTTTGTATTCTATCCATGAGTGGAAGCAAGCATGTGGAAAGCAGTTCCTTTGTGAGATTCAGAAAACAAACAAGGGGGGGGAGGACTTAAGAAGTGCCTTGCAGGATTTAGGCAAAAGGCCCATCTAGTCCAGCATCCTGTTCTCACAGCAGCCAACCAGATGTCCCAGAGGAAGCAGGAACTGAGTGCAACAGTGCTCCCCATTTGTGATTCTCAGCAATTGGTATTAAGAGGCTTACTGCCTCTGTTGTAGCTAGTAGCCACTGACAGGCTTATCTTTCAGGAATTTGTGTTATCGTCTTGTAAAACCAACCAAGTTGGCCACTTCTTGTGGGAGTGAATTTCACAACTTGAAAAACAACAACACCTTCCTTTTCTCTGCCCTGAATTTTCACTGGATGTCCCCAATTTTAGTATTCTAGCAAACTTCTGTCTACATACGTTCTCCACATCATGAATTATCTCCACCACGTTAAAAAAAATCTCCCCTATACAGGGCTGCCTTCAGATGTATAGCTACTCATCTCCTTGGCTCAGGGGTCGCATAACCCTCCAACATTTCTCTGATGAAAATAGGGGCATCCTAAGGAAAAGCAGGGACGCAGGTGGCGCTGTGGGTTAAACCACAGAGGCTAGGGCTTGCCGATCAGAAAGTCAGTGGTTCGAATCCCTGCAACGGGGTGAGCTCCCGTTGCTTGGTCCCTGCTCCTGCCAACCTAGCAGTTCGAAAGCACCTCAAAGTGCAAGTAGATAAATAGGTACCGCTCCGGCGGGAAGGTAAACAGCGTTTCCGTGCGCTGCTCTGGTTTGCCAGAAGTGGCTTAGTCATGCTGGCCACATGACCCGGAAGCTGTACGCCGGCTCCCTTGGCCAATAAAGCGAGATGAGCACCGCAACCCCAGAGTCGGCCACGACTGGACTTAATGGTCAGGGATCCCTTTACCTTTACCTAAGGAAAAGCAGGACATTCCAGGACTAAATCAGGGACTGTCCCTGGAAAATAGGGAGCCTTGGAGGGTCTGCAAACTAGGCCACTCAGCACCCAGCCCAAATTTCTCAGCAAAGCAGTATATGATGACAGGGTCTCCCTCTTGTGACCGGCTGTGCTGCAGCATTCTGCACCAACTGCAGTTTCTAGATCAAGCACAAAAGAAGCCCCACATGGAATGCATTGCTGTATTCCAATAGCTAGACAATTTAAGGTGACCCTCCAAGCCAAACTAGGCAGGGATTGGGTCCAATTTATTCAGTCATCCTGGAGGTCAGTGATTAGGTCTGTCTGCCTATACTGTACGGCTTTGGGCCAGGATTCAGCTACTGTCTCTCTCATTTCATAGAGCCCTACAGTTGTAGAGTCAGGAGGGATCCAAAGGACCATCTAGTCCAGACACCCCCAAACGTGGGTCTCCAGCTGTTTTGGGACTACAATTCCCATCATCCCTGACCACTGGTCCTGTTAGCTAGGGATGATGGGAGTTGTAGTCCGATGCCTAATCTAGTCCAACTCCCTGCAATTTCTCCAAACTTAAATTCACTTCACCACATTTCTGCCTCAGTCTGCAATTTATTTATTTTAAATTGCCTTCATGAAAATTTCCTGGCATTTTAACTGCAAATCTCTCAGAAGATACATTTTTTTAAAAAAAATAGTGCTTCAAACCTCTGCCAATGTCTCGTGGTTGATATATAAATTTTCTATCCATCAATTTTCTGCCTCCCCTCCCTGCAGCACAGCCTGTAATCAAGGCAATCACCCCCCTCCCCGAGAACATCATTATCTCGATCTACATTCAGAACTATTAATACAGATCATCTTCTCCTATTTATTTAGATTTGATACAGCTGAAACAAGGGCTTAGCTTAGGAACATCATACATTTGAAAACGAAAAGCTTTTAAGAGTTGTCATCTTTTTTTTCCAAAAAAAACCCCTAACAAACAACCACTTGACCCTTTTAAGAAATAAATAAATTAGCCGCAGCTGCTGAATTCTCTTAATTAGGTCAACGAGCACACCAATGAGAGGTCTGTTGTCAATACATCTCTGCTTTTATCGGTTTAGAACAAGCCATGTTTGTTTCAGGTAAGTGGTTTTCAATAAGTAAGGCACTGAAAAGAATGGATTGGGTTTTAAATTAAATTAATACAGTGCACCTCTATACCTGACTGTAAAGTTTTCTGGCTGTAAAGCTACTCCCTACTCAGAGTAGACACACTGAAAGTAATCAACCTGAGTTAATCATTTCTGTCAATTTCACTGCGCCAACTCTGAGAAGGATTAGCATTGCATACGACCCATGGAATTCAGTAAGACTTGCTTTCAGGTAAGTGGATCTAAGTAAAGGTAAAAGGTAAAGGGCCCCCTGACCATTAAGTCCAGTTGTGACCGACTCTGGGGTTGCGGCGCTCATCTCACTTTATTGGCCGAGGGAGCCGGCGTACAGCTTCCGGGTCATGTGGCCAGCATGACAAAGCCGCTTCTGGCGAACCAGAGCAGCACACAGAAATGCCATTTACCTTCCCACCAGAGCGGTACCTATTTATCTACTTGCACTTTGATGTGCTTTCAAACTGCTAGGTTGGCAGGAGCAGGGCCCGAGCAACAGGAGCTCACCCCGTCACGGGGATTCGAATTGCCAACCTTCTGATCGGCAAGTCCTAGGCTCTGTGGTTTAACACACAGCGCCACCCTTACATATAGCCTGTGATCTGGTACTCGGATCCAGAAACAGTTCGAGACTCCAGACCAGGCCCAAAGGGGACCCCTACATACAGAACACCCACAGGAAACAAAGATGGCAGATAAATTACTTTCCAGAAATAGCCCAATGAATGTATTTTCTTATCAAGCACCGTTTCATCTCAGACAGCTTAAGAGATTTACTTCACGTGGACGTGTGTGTGTGGAAGGGTGTGGAAACACCCTTAAAATAAATTTACATTTAAAATAAACTGATATGTGGCGCCTTTGAAAATAAAGGCAGTTTCCTCAGTCCCTCTCTCTCTCTTCCCCCCCCCCCACCTTCAAGGTTTCAGAAAACATCTTCCTTCTGAAGATTGCTTTCCTTATAGGAGGAGGGGGGAAATTGAACAGCAGTAAAATGCTGGTTTGTTGGAGCAAATGGAATTTTAAATTGAATTCTTATCAAATTAGCCATTCATCAAGGTCATGCAATATTGCGTGAATGACCTCTGTGAGGCATCTGCACTCTTGCCTTGCTGCAGTCGTTGAAAACAAGGGTAATTCTAATGCGATTGCTGTGATGGAGTATTGTGCGATATGGGGACTGCATTTGTGATGCTCGGGGCTTTAGCAACATCTGCGGGAACATCAGTACTCAGAGGACAACTGCCTTGCTCTCCAGAATGAACAGAAGCATGAGCTCCTCTGAACGGCTTTCATGCCTCTCCCATGATCCCTAGGAATAAGCATAAGAACATAAGTGGAGTCTTGCTAGTTCAGCATCCTGTTCTCAAAGTGCCTTATGCCTCTGGGAAGCCTGAAAGCAAGACCTGAGCATAAGAGCTTTCTCCCCTTCCATGGTTTCCATCAACGGGCATTCAGAAGTATACTGACTCTGACAGTGGAAGCAGAATGTTGGTGGCTGTCACTGCCTCCAGGGGAGCAAGTTCAGTGGTTCAAGTCTGTGCTGTGTGTGACGAAGGACTTTACTTTGTCATTCATGAACCTTCCAACCTTCAACTTCATTGGATGTCCCCAACTTCTCTTATTATGGGCACAGGAGAAGGTGAAGCATGGAGGCTTCCAGAATTGTCCTCCTCTGAAGTTCTCCACAGATCTGGCAGATTTCCAAATCAACTGGCATTGTGGAATCAACAAATTAGGAATTCTTTGTTGCTTTATTTATAACATCCAAAACATGTTGAGAGCATTGCTACGGGCTTCAGTTCCCTCCACTCTTTCCTGTCTTTCCATGGGTATATGGAGAACATTGTGTGTGTGTGTGTGTGTGTGTGTGTGTGATACCAAAAGAAACGAAAGCCAAATCCAGCTGCAGGTGCTCCACATCTGGAATTGCACTTTTTGAAATTGTCCTAGTTGAACCTGAACTTAGGAGAAGAAGAATTCATGGAAGATTACGCCAGAGGAAATAAAATAAAATAATATAATATAAACAAACACAATGGGGGAGAAATCCTCTCACCCCTGGCTGTGAATCACATCACTGTGTAACATGCTTCCTGCTTAAAATAATTATAGGTTAGATCCAAGTCAAAATTTCTCTGGAGCCCCCCCCCCCATAACATTTCTGAGAGCTTCCTTTTTGGCCCAGAACATCTGTGGCAAATGCCCTATGTTGGCCAGGTTGCTATCACAGTTGCTGCTCTTGCCACTCGCAGAGGCAGCAAACACCCACACCCACACACCTACACACACCCACACACCATGAATGAATGCACACCCTTAGGCAAAAATTGCAGAACAGAACAGAACTATGCTATTGCTACTGATAATGGCAAGACCCACCTCTAAGAACCAGTTGGAGATTTCCTCCCCTCCCTCTGGAGAAATTTGGTGACATGCTCCCCCTCCTCATACAAATAAGATTGGAGAATTTCAAGAAGCTATTTGTCAGGGGTGGTTTGCCTCCAAAATACCAGTAACTCATAGCTGTCAACGGTTTCCTTTTTTTAAGGGAAATTCCCTTATTCGAAATAGGATTCCTCACAAGAAAAGGGACAAGTTGACAGCTATGCAGTAACTGGGAATCACAGGAAGGGAGAGCACTGTTGCACTCTGGCCCTGTTTGGAGGTTTCCCTGGCATCTGGTTGGACACTGTGAGAACAGGATACTGGACTAGACGGGCCTTGGGACTGATTCTGCAGGGCCCCTAAGGTCCCTTTTCAGTCATGAACTCACCACTCGCAAGATGGTTCTCTAGTACCGTGATTACTGTGATTGTTTCCAGCTGCTACAAACAAACTGACAATTGATTAGCAGGATGGACGAAGCATAGAGGGGTGGGCTTCTTGCCCCCAGGCACCTTGAACCCTGGAGCCTTCTGGCCCCCAAAGGAAGCTTGCAACATGAATCTCCTGCTTCCTTTTTTTGTTTGGTTTGGTTGTTTTGCTTCCTGATGGATTAACTCCAACTCCTCCGCCACAACCATTACCCAGTAACAAAGATATATAGCAGCTGGAAAGTGCTTTTGGAAACCTTCCCAAATAACAAAATAGTAGCATATTTGACAAACTATTTCAGAACACATAATAGAGGAGATAATGATAATTAGGCGAGTGCTTTATGCCCAAATGCTCTTGAATGCCGGAAAAGAAAATACAATATTTTCAGTCAAAGATAATTGAAAAGATTATTTGGCTTATCTAAAATAAGTTCCCCTCCCAAGCCTCTTCACATCTGTTACATGGATTTGTGCAGATGCACGGAATGGTACTGCTGATTCAAAGCTTGTGTTTATCGCCTGGGGGAACTAGAGGTGGGTCTGAATTTGAGTGAGGTGTGAAGGTCCCCTTGAAGGGAAAGGGGTGTATTGCTTGGCTGGGTTCTAATCTGGGTATGGGGGGGAATAAGATGGACTGAAATTGTGCTTCTTTAGTGCATGGGGCGGGGACTGATCCCAAGGGCTTAGTGAAAAGGCAGCCAAAAAATGCACATTTGGAAAGGACTGGAGTCACCAAATTGAAAGTGCATAGTCCAATTGTGTGATTACTCAGAAGTAAATCCCAATGAGTGAATTGGAGCCTGTTCCCTGAGGAGTTTGTGTAGGCAATAAGTCCTGACTTGTTAACTTGGAAACAGGACTTCTGAATAAAAAGTAGGAGCACTCTGATCGCTCACAGCTTAATGCGGCAGCCCCCAAGATGCAGTAACACCTGTATACACGGAGAGGAGGAATCTCGTCGTTCCATGCCCATTTCCTAGAGGTATGTCCTAGTGATTTCAGTGGGCCTTACAAGATGAGCGGTAGTGTGGCGTAGCGGTTGGAGCGTTAGGCTAGGACCTTGGAGACCAAATGTCAGGAGCTGGAGTCAGTCATAGGTCAGCAATGAAACAATAAAGAAACAAAACAGCTCATGATGAGTGGTCACAGCAACGCTTCTTAGTACGTCTTGCCCCAATGAAGCAGTTGCAAAGAATGAAGGTTCCCACCTTCCCACCACTCTCTAAGGCTCCTTCCCCAACAGTCTAAGACTTATCATCTTGCCTCTCATTGCTCCATTTCTTTGAGAGTTCTGTGGGACCAGGGGTGGGGGAGTGAGCTGGTTCCAACAGAAGGGGGAGACTCCATGGCTTCTTCAGCAGCCTGCCTCATCTCTGTCTCCTGACGCCTTTCCTGCCTCTGTGTCTGGACTGCTCTCTGCCACAGTCTCTTCCTGCTCACTAAAGCCTGTTACCTCTTCAGCTTCCGGCGCCTCCTTCTCCCAGTCAGTTCCCTCTTCTCCCTCTGTCCACACATCATCATCCCAGCACCAATCCCCTGGCCCTGAGCCTTCTTCCTCTGGGAGTTCCCTTAGAGGTTCCCCAGCTCTACATCCAGCCAGTCTGTGGCATCAAAGTGAATGAATTTTATTATTTCGGTCACAGACCAGTCCCAGCCCACATACAATATCAAGGAAGTCATACATTTGAATTTGCAATTAGGTATGACAGGTATAACAGGTGGCGCTGTGGGTTAAACCAAAGAGCCTAGGACTTGCCTATCAGAAGGTTGGCGGTTCGAATCCCCGCGATGGGGTGAGCTCCCGTTGCTCAGTCCCAGCTCCTACCAACCTAGCAGTCCGAAAGCACGTTAAAGTGCAAGAAGATAAATAGGTACTGCTCCAGCAGGAAGGTAAACGGTGTTTCTGTGCGCTGTTCTGGTTCGCCAGAAGCGGCTTAGTCATGCTGGCCACATGACCTGGAAGCTGTCTGCGGACAAACACCGGCTCCCTTGGCCTATAGAGCGGGATGAGCGCGCAACCCCAGAGTCGTCCGCAACTGGATCTAATGGTCAGGGGTCCCTTTACCTATAACAGGGACAATACAGATATAGCAACAGTTAAAAAATATATAAATTAAAACTTGGCCATTAACATATAACCTAAAATTATCATTTAAAACCTTAATCATTATGATAGCACAGCTTGTTCCCTAAGTTTTATGCAGTCACACAGAAATTGGCTACCCTTAACCTTGGCATCAAAGTTCAAATCTGTGCTCAGCCATGAAGCTCAGTGGGTGTTCTTGGGCCAGTCACCATCTCTCAGTCTAACTGGCAGGACTCTGACGAGTGTGTGGTGGGGGCGGGGGGGCAGTGGATTGACCCAGGAGAGCAGGGGCTGTGACGTATGGGGTGTTTGGTGCTGCTTACAGTGCGGGAGCCAGGGTGGGATGAAGAGGAAGGGTCAGAGCAGTCAGAGATGGAGGTGGGCATGCAAGATTTGTCAGAAGTGGAGAGAGAGGCTGTTCAGGCCAGTCGAATCCCTTCCATCCTTTGCCCTGCTGTTTTCTAGAACCAGGAGGTGCTTGAAGAGGGAAGAGCAGTTATGGTTTCAGTGTAGCAGAAACCTCAGGTTGCATTCATGCACCCCATCAAATGAAGGTACATAACCTGGGAGTGGGGTGTGGTGGTCCCACTGTTGCCACAAAGCCACTTCTGAGCTTGAGAGGAGGTGGGGTTGCGGGCTTCACACCCTCCCACGTGCGCAGGGGCTGACTCGCAGCTCCCGCGAGACTGGGGGAATCCTCGGCCAGATCATCTCCCTTGCCAGCCAATCGGCTGGCCCGGGAGGCGTGGCCCGCGCTATTTAGGTCTGGTGCGGCCGAGGCTTTTCCTCTTTCTTTGCTCCAGCTGCTCCGGTTTCCCACCCTTTCCACCCTTTAGGTTTGGCTCTCTGACCTTGCTATGGACTTCGGTTGGTTGCTGTCAAGGGACCTGGTAGGATTTTTTTCCACTTGGCAAATTGGCTCCAGCCATTTGGTTTTTCGCCTACCTCGTAGCAAATCGTCACAACTTCCTTGGCATTGGCGGTCAGGCATTGGTAGGGGTATTGTTATGTAGATGGGGGGGGAGGAAGCGCCATCACCTTCCCCCATATTGAAGGGTAGTCCGGTAAAGGATTCCAGGAGGCGTTGCCCTGTCCGAAGCCTATGGAGGTGAGGGGCCAAGGCACGTCCCCAAGCGGTGACCCCGGGGGAGCTCCTAGTTGATGTGCAGGACTCCCCTTACTGGCGGTTAACCCTTCCCGGTCTTCAAGCAATCAGGCTGAAGCCGGATAGTCGATAGGACCAATGCCTAAGCCAATACCGCTCAATTCCTGTAACCAATAAAGTTGTGGCCAATTCTTGCCCATTAACCTAAAATGCTGGTGTCCTGTGTCTTTATTTCCAAGGGGGAGGCGGGAACTCACCGCGCAACTCCTCCATGGGTCACAGACCTGGGAGCAGCTGCCCAGACTCTAGAAATGTGTGTGTGTGTGTGTGTGTGTGTGTGTGTTTGTGTGTGTATGTATCTGGGGCACCTTAGGAACTGCTATAATCCTTCCTTAGTTGAGGGGTGCTCAGGACCGTATCCTGCCTCACAGGGATGTTGCGAGGGTAAAATGGAGAGCAGGGGAGAACCATATATATTAAATTGAACTCCTTAGAGGAATGAAGGCTTAGAAATGCAATGATAAACAAACAAACAAGCAAAACTTCATACAGTTTCAGATGCTAATCTACCTGCCAGCCCCTTTTAGAGCCTCAGCTCAATGCACCGAGTTAATGAGTCCTGCTTGCCCAAAACAGGATGTCTTCAATATGAAGCTGCCTGGAATGACCTGTAATTTGTTTTCCTTATTCCAGCTCAGCTTGTTTATGTTATGTGCAAAATGCATCCATCCTATTTGTGGTATTTATCTCCAGGCTACTGCTTGCTTTACCACATCGCGAAGAGTTAGCATCGCTCTTGATTTCCCAGGAGTAAGAGAAATCCATGTTCATGCGCTTATAAAGGTTGACTTGTGAACAAATTCTTCTACAGGGCAATTTCGGATGCTCCAAGTGACATTTTAAATTCTTCAGATCTCCCTCTCCCCGTTCGGTTTTACAAGAAAATGTTGATTCTCTGGGACTCACATGCTAAATGAAAAAAGCAACTTTCTTGCAAAGAGAGCAAGGAACATTTTTAGGGCATGTATTTTGGTCCAGCAATATCTATATGTTCCCGAGGCCTTTCCATAGGTTGTAAAGGGCTTCCTTAAAAGCTTTCTTAAACCCAAATGTATTAGCTTATCTCCAGAAGGCAAGCAGGGAGAGATTCACCAGAGCCACCAGTTGAAATGTCCTGCTTCCTGTCCCTGCTGATGTTCTTTTAGATGGAGTTCACAAATAGGACTTACTGGCATTCACAAAATGTAGGCACGATCAAACATTCCCTCTGCTAATTGCTGCCCCATTTTCAGGTGGTGAAATATATTTGTTATTTATTTATTTATTATTTGCAATATTATTTACAGCAATAATCTTTGTGAGGACGGAGAAAAATTATCTGAAAGGTTTCTGCAGAGGCTCAATGCTGCTGGATGAAACCATTCTCCCCCTTTTATGGTTAGTCTCATTGCTGCTGGTGGGGGTAGCTGGAAGCTTGTGTGTGTGTGTGTGTGTGTGTGTGTAATTCCAATATGAGATGACTTGATCTGTACTTCCTGGAGTAATGCAATGCTCAGAATGTAATTATCCTTTGAATTTTGCACTTCTCTGACTCAATTTTCACAAAATACATATTAAAGCATCACACATATGTAGGGTGCATATTTCCCTGGGAGTAAGTGCCCTTTGAGTTGGTAGTTTTGAGTAGATAGCGATGGCATTGAACTGTTCAAAGTTCACATTTTGTGTAAGATAACATACAACAATGTGAATTTTGTGAGATAATGCATAAAGATAAGCATTTTAATAATATTTAAATACAAAACGTTGAGCAATTTTCTTTTTTCTTTTTGTAAATATGGGTTGGTTATATATATATACACACACACACACACACACACACACACACACAGACAGACAGTCAGTATATATACAGTATATATGTGTGTGTGTGTGTGTATACAAGTGTAGATTTAGTGCAGAAAGAAAGGGAGTGGACATATGAATGAACATATCTGAAAGTGACACAGACTAGACATAGATTGACCCTTCCATCCTTATTGGCATCTAGGGATATAAGAAGGCACTATTTTCTATCCCACCCTGTATTTGTTGCATTCCGCACTGTCTCCTTTCTGCTGCATTTCTTCTTCCACCAAGAACAAAGTTGTTTTCTGCCTGCTGTGGAGAAATCACTTAACTTTTCATTCCCTAAATTCCCTAAATTATGTTGTCATTACATTATTCCACCCCATTCATTTCAGCACAAAGGAAACACAGTGCAAATGGGATGGGGATACAGTCATATCTCGGGTTACAGATGCTTCAGGTTGTGTTTTTTTGGGTTACAGACCCACCGAAACCTGGAAGTACCGGAACGGGTTACTTCTGGGTTTCGGGGGTCATGCATGCGCAGAAGCACTGAATTGCAACCCGCTCGAGCACAGACATTCTGCTGCGGGTTGTGAACGTGCATCCCACACGGATCACGTTTGCAACCCAAGCGTTCATTGTATAACCAGCTGCATATCTTTGTGGATGTGTTTCCCAGATTGCTTTCCATTCCAAATGTAAGCAAACACTAGCCATCCTTGCTCCCATTTCTGTTTTTGTCAGAATTCTGCAACATCCCTCCTGGCAGTTGACCGTTTCCTTCCCACACAGCCCCAGACAGAGTGCACACATAGCAGCACAACACCTCCCCACACAATAATGCCCCCTGAGCTCTAACAGTTTCGTGGCTCCTGAATTTCACCTCAGCTCCATTGTGAGTTGGAATGTCATTGTCTCCTGCCTGCCAGGTCTTCTCCTGCTGATTTTAATGGGCTGCAAAGTTCGTAGCTAAGCCAAAGCTTTCACCAGGCTATAGAAGCACATATGGGGAAAGAAATATAGATATTTTAGTCAGTACGCTCTCTCTCATATCAATCACTAAGAAAGGGGCTGTGGGGATGACTAAGATGAAGCAATACAGCAATAACTCCTCAAAATGTCAGCCGCACTGACTGCACATTTTACTCAGAACCATTAGCAGGGGAGATAGATTATCCGTAAGTGCTAATATGGCACAGCAGAATATAAATATTTATATTAATGTGCACCTTTTAGTCTTTTATTAACAGGTCAGAATACACACACACACACACACACACACACACACACACACACTTTAGTGCCCTTTCAGTTGGGAATTTTTTAATGGATTTAAGCCTCTACTTCAATGTTATAAGAGAGGGTGAAATAGAACCTTAGAATTTCTTGTTCCACTGGAGATTTTACCTATATCTACCAGTGGCATAGCATGGTGGGGGGCACAGGGGTGGTTGCGCTAGGTACAAAATTGTTAGGAGCACAACATTTCAGCACCTGGTGCTTCCTCAGTACAGCTGTGCACTTCCATCACTGGGTTCCATTGAAAACAGCTTCTCTGTGTGAACCAGGAAGTGACCTCTCCAGACAACGAAACTCTTCTTTTCTTATCTTTGTGGATGTGATATCCTGGGTGATGTGGACACTGTTAGGCAGTTCAATGCATATGAGTACTCTGCCTGTCTCCCTCCTACTCAACCTGTGAGGCCCCGGGCACTGGCAACCCACGCTATGCCACTGATATCTGCACACACATGAGCAAGGGGAGGCGGGGATATCAACCATTCAGCAGCAGATTTCAAAGAGCTAAGGCAAGAAGTTGTTCCTTTTCAATATGGCTGAGCAAATGTAGGAATACCCATGCCAATTTCACAGTCCTGTTTGCAAGCAATGAAAAAGGTCCCCACTTTTGACAACGGGGGTCTTACATAGGTTCTTCCAACTCACCTAGCAGGTAGTGACTGCAGTAGCAGCCATTTCCTCCCTGCCCAGCACTACTTCTTCTTGTTTATTAAATTTAGATACCATTCTTCAATCAAAGATCACATGATGGTTTACAATATAAAAACACAAAATGCACAACAACAACATCATCATCATCATCATCATCATCATCATCATCATAATTAATAATAAAAACTATGTACACGCAGGGCCCACTACCAATCTGCTTGTAATGCAAAAAAGTAAGTTCCACAGTTTAACTATAAACTGAAGATGTGCTTTTTTGGGGGGTCTGTCCTGAATCCTTCATTGGATGTCTCTGAGTTATGAAAGAGGGAGAAAAGCCTCTCTCTATCTGCTACCTCCATGCTATGCATAGTTTTGACAGTTTGCATTCTTTCAGTGGGATGGGTTATCTTGAACGCCCCTTAATGCTTTTTCTAAGCTAGAATCAAGGGTCGTGGTACATATCTGCACATCAAACAGACTGGCCACTTGCTACTGCCCTCCCTGCTCTTTGCACGTTTGAAATCTTAAGCTCCAATGAGCAATCTGGCCCACTGAGTATCCTTCCCATAAGACCATCCTTCTCTCCAGCATAATCTGGGTACAGATGGCAGCTCCTCCTCAGTAACAGTAATTTGCTCCCCGTGTTGTGTGCGACAACTATTAATACATAATATGCATGAGCAAACCCAAACAATGTGGAAAATATCTGAAAGGCAACCCCCAATAAGCCCCTTCTTCCCATTTTCCTTGCAGAAGTGCAGCTGCCTTGTGCCTTAATGCAAGAAAATGAAAGCAAGGCTCCTCATATGGAATTCCTGGTCGGGTTCACATCTTGTTTCTGCTTGATGCCAAGTGATGTCTTTGCCGCTGAATTCATGCTGAGATGATAATAGGTTAGGCCGCTCAACTGACTTGGAAGGTTAGTAAGATCAACACTCGAATCTGCTTTATCTCCATCGAGGGGATTGTTTTGTATAATACCCAACTTGCAAAGGAAGAATAATGAACACGTCTTTCTGTCTGCTTCACTGTATCACAGGTGGGTGATGTGCTGTGTTTGAATAGAATACACTGCCTTACTAATGGCAGGGAAGTAAACTTTGATTGTCAACTTTTTCCTGGACATAGATATTTCCTCTCCCTTGTAATCCCAAAAGCAGGAAAGGGATGGAGATAAGTTGAACATCAACTAAACAACAGCATCACTTAATAGATGGGGTTCTCAAAACTTTCTACCCTCCACTGTGTCCACTTGAGAAGGCTGAAAATGACTGAGACCCACCAGTCACAACTCCTTAGGGCTTTCTGCCCAAATAGAATTTTGCACAATGAGAATGAAAAGTTGACTTCATAAGTACAAGTACCACAAGTTGGAAGTCTGCTTTCCATCTTGCGGCTTTCCCCATCAGTTCACCTCCCTTGCAAAATATGTTTACGGGGAGATGTGTTTTGCATAGCAGCACAAATACAGTGTATTTATTGATTCTGGTGCTATGTCGGCAGTGGCGTCGCTAGCTGTCCTTTAGCCAGAGCGGTTTATTAGACTAAATAGACATTTTCGCATGGAAAAAAGTGCATTGTGATTGTTTCAGAGGTGGTGCAATTAGGGTAAGCTCTCAGAAGATAATGTTGCAAGGGATTATCTGAGAATTTCGTTTCCCCCTTGACTTTGCCCCAACGGTTGGAGAATTCTACCTCCCCACCAAGTTAACTTTCAATGGAATTCTCTATCCCCGCCCCTATTTTACTGCTGACGAACAGCACAGAGAATTTTGGGATTCCATGTTTGACATAGAGGAGGAGCTGAAGACAGTGGAGGCTGGTTCATGAGGTCAAGTAGGGTTCTGCCCCACCAGCCTCAGTCGGCGCCCACCAGCCCCCAGCCAGCGTCCATCTTGCCAGCTTTCTTATTTGCAACCAGTCCAAGGGGTGAAACTTCCTGTGAGTCTCCTCTTCCTCTTCAAGTCTCAGTGGAATTCAGCAGGGAGGAAGAAACTAGAATGAGTTGGTTCTACCTGTCATTGCCTCTGGCGCCACCTGCTGTTGCCCTCCCTGCTTTCTACCCCACCAGCCTCAATAGCTACCACTCACCACTGGCTGAAGAGCTGAAACTTCCCCAGTAGAGATGGCTATGGTATTCACATTACCCTGCTCAGAAGCATGAATTCTTGACGTCTAATGATGCTGGAATCCGAAACCTCTCTCTAATTGCCACCCACTTTAATTCTGGCAAGGGCGGCACTCAAAGAAGTGGTTTCTATGGAGCTCAGGGAACAGACTACAGCTGTTAATGGAATTAATTTGTTTCTCATTTTTAAGCAAACCGATCTTCACTTGTTGGATTAATATGTAGATTACAGTGCAATTGCCTTGTAGATGTCAGCAAGGATACGGATGGGGACAAAACCAGAATATGTTGGCACTGCCTGCTGTTGGCACTCCCTCCATCTGCCCCTTGGTCTCCCTGCCTTCTGCCCTACCGGTCCCAATAGGCACCAGCCATTGTTGCTACTATAACTAGCCAGCAAGACTACTGCAAGAAGGGCAACACCCCATAGACTGGAGCTACCAGGTAGTAGTTTCTTTAGTTCACAGGAAGAATTGCATCAGTGGCCCCATCCACACTTGGTAAGAACATAAGATGAGCTTGATGGAACAGGCCAATGGCTCAAAAATTCAGCCAACCAGATGCCTATGGGAAGCCTCCAAGCTAGACAGGAGCACTCGGCTGCCGTAGGCAGGGAGGAAGCTGATGACACCAAACTAGATCATTGGTCTAATACTGGCCACACTTAGTGAAAACAGCTCCCCAGTGTTTCAGGCAGGAGAGTTTCCCAGGCTTACCAGGATATGGCAGGGATTGAATTAGGGACCTTTGCAGAGTATTTGGTGCAGCAAATATTTGTGGAGCAAATATCCTTGCAATAAGTTATTGTTTGGGTAGGAGCTATAGCTCAAAGACCATGTTGCAAGTATATATGCACTACAAACTTTGCCACACCAAATACTTGCTTATGTCTCAGATTTAAAATGATCATGCTCCTAGCTCTCATGGCTTTGGGGGAAAGAAAGGCTACGGTGCTAGAAGGGATGCAATGATGCTTTGACCCACATTCTTTTAAGGCTAATGATCATAGAAGTGTAGGAATGGGAAGTGGTCTAGGTGAGACTTACTATAGAGCTGCAAACCCGGAAGTAAGTGTTCCAGGTGTTGCGAACTTTTTCCAGAAGCTGAACATGCTTCGTTTTGAGTGTTACGCTTCTGATTTGAGTACCACACTTCCATTTTGAGTGTTACGCTGAGGTCTGTCTGTTTTTGCCATCTATTTTGCAGTTTTGTTTTTGCAACTTTTTTGTTTTGTTTTTGTGACTGTGTTCAGCTACTGATGGATTGGTCGTGTGACTGCAGCACATTGTTTATTGCTTTCATTTTATGGATCAGTGGTCTCGTTAGATAGCAAAATTCATGTTAAATTGCTGTTATAGGGGCTGTTTTTAAAAGTCTGGAATGGATTAACCCATTTTGCATTAGTTTCTATGGGAAAGCGAGCCTTGGTTTTGGAATGGACTTCCGGAACGGATTGAATTTGAGAACCAAGGTACCACTGTACTACCTTACAGTGAGCGGCAGCAGCTCTCCAGGATTTCAGACCAGGGCCAGTCCTAGTTGGAGATGCCAGGGATTGAACCTGGGAGCAGCTGCACGCAAGGCATGAGCTATGTTCCCACAGTCAACCCAGTACTAGCTCCTGTTGAAACTGCAAGAGCACAACAGATAAACAGTCTCTCAGATACAGTAGGAGAAATTTCCAGCCCTACCTGGAGATGCGAGGGATTATACCTGGGTCCTCTTGCATCCCAGGGACAGCACTGAGCTACAGTCCTTCCTTGAGCAAGGTGAATTTAAGGAAGCCTTGGAGAAGGAGCAACGATCTCCCCAAGTCCCATCGGTGCATTCCTGGTGGTAAGTTCACCTAGAGCCATATCTCTTTGCAGCTCCTGAGCTCCTGAATAGCTGGTCTAATTTGAAATGTCCTATACAATGTTATTTTTCTTAAAAGTATCTGTAAGCCTGACAAAAGAGGATATTAAAGAATCAGAGATTGAAATCTATGGCTTTCGTTTAATATCCTTATTGGAGGTGCTTTTTCGTTCCCCTCTAAATTACTCCCTGTTTTCATTGTGCTCAAAATTCTCTCCTAATAAATGATAGTAGTAAGTGAAAGACAGATACTCAGTGAATTGGTTTTTTGTCCCCTAAACCCCATCAATATATAAAGCTTTTCTTTGTATTGCTAAGCACAGGACATTACTCACACAAATTAGATATTCGTTTAAGACTTTTCAACACTTTTCATCACAGGAGTCTATTCCCAGAAATGGGGGGAAATCTCTTCTACCCATCTATTAAATGTGGAAGATTTCAGAGGGGAATTTTACAGAATTCTCCCTTGTACTGGATCAACACATTGGCTCAACTTACTCAACTTACTCAGGGTGCATTCAGAGGTGGGAAGCATTGTGTTATTTTTTTCTGATTAACGCTAGTGCCTCTGTTCTGTTATCTAATGTTCCCTTCGTGCTGCAGTTCCTGTTGCGTTAGTGATCTGTGGCTTTTCCAGTGATACACACCAGCATGCTGCCTTAAATTTCATTCCCACCAGTGGGCGTGGTGTGGCACAACAAAGGACGTCATTGGGCAATATTCCCCCATCCTTTCCGCGCACCTGTGCTTCTCGTCCCTCATGTTTCACCCATGAAAATGGCAGATAGAAGAACTGCATCCTTGTATTCTGTCTAATTTTTTTTTTTATCACTTTACTCCCATGATTTGCTGGGTTAATGGGGTTGCAAACACATCTTTTTTTCTGGAAGCAATTAACATGGAAATGAGTGCCATCCTTGGACTATGTTTTGTTAGATTTCTGAAGGGGACTTTTATGTCATATTAACATTTCTACACTATATTTGAGCTAACAGTTAGGGAAACCTCAGGGAAAAGGAATAAACTGCCATGTGAATGCAGCCTCAGTGTTGTCTATACTGAGTGTCTGTGGCTCCTCAAGGTTCCAGGCAGTGCCTTTCCCAAATAGAAGGTTGGACCATTTGCCTGACACACAAGAAGGAGCAGGATGGAGCCTGTCATTTTCTGGGATTCTAATATTGTATTGAAGTAATATTGTAATCAACCCATAGTGAATAGCTTCCCGAAACCTCCTAATGAAAACCTGAAACAATGGAAGCTTGGAAGTGGTATGACGACAAGCTGGAATTTGTGCAGAGGAAGGTGACCAAGATGATGAAGGATCTGGAAACCAAGCTTTATGAGGAACGGTTGAGGGAGCTTGGCATGTTTAGCCTGGAGAAGAGAAGACTGAAAGGTGATAGAATAGCCATATTTGAACATCTGAAGGGCTGTCACATGGAAGATGGAGCAAGCTTGTTTTCTGCCGCTCCACAGGGCAGGACTCAAACCAATGGATTCAAATGACAAGGAATGAGATTTCGATTAAACGAGGAATAACTTTCTGATGGTAAGAGATGTTCAATGGTAGAACAGACTGCCTTGGGAAGTGGTAGACTCTCCTTCATTTCAGGTTTTTCAGCAGGTGATGGGTGGCCATCTGCCAGGGATTCTTTAGTTCTTATTCCTGCTTTGCAGGGGGTTCGACTCTTTGGTCCCTTCCAACTCTCCAACTCTATGATTCAATGGGAAATATGCTCAGGGTGATATGTGGAAAACACAGGATAGATAAAGAAAAGAGTTATAGCCACATTCTGACTGATAAACCTTGAAAGTTACACAGATGATGGGAACACAGTTTTCTACTGTTGCAATTAGTGATGGAGCATTTTTTTGGAGGAGGAGATGGAGCTCTTTAGCCAAGGTTAGCCTTTTGTTCCCCTGTGGCTGTGCAGCTCAAGGATCATTTATGCCTGTGCTGAGTGTTCTGAAAATAATGGCAGAACTCCAAGATCATATTTGTACAGTGCATTATTTGCAATGACAAATATATGTATTAATCAGCACCAAATAACACCTCCCCGGGCAGCTGATGTAGAATGCAGAAGAAGGTCCCTTCTTTGCAACAGGGTTCCCCGCTCTTAAAATCAAAACCCCAGAGCCCCAGTGTGTCTCTTATGCGCGCTCTCTCTCACACCCACCCACCCACCACTTTGTTAGCTCTCATGCAGTCCATTGCCAAGGCAAGACACTGGTCCAGCACTTCCACTGCCTCACCTGCAGATGTAAAGGAGAAGTAGAGCTGTTGAGGCATCTGATCAAAATCTGCTTTGAGCTTAAAAAATTATATTTGTAAATATATTTTTCTCTGCCAGGGAAAGACCAGCTGAATACTCTGGCAGCTGTTCAAGGGGCCCCACTGCTATAAATAAAAGTATTTCAAGGTTGTAAAAGGAAATTAGAGCCAGAGAGTAAAAGGTCACACTGACCAGAATACAATCAAGCTGTAAAAACACAATTAAGAACTGGTAAATAGTGAAATTTATTGTTTAACAGAAGACTCGAGCCATAAGGTTAAAGGTTAAATGGAAGAAACAGCCGCTGGTTAGGGAAAAAGGTTTCTTTATAGAACTTAGGAACTTAGCTTTTACTAAATTCCTTTAATTTGAAAAGGCCTTTCCTTCTAAAAATCTATCTATGTTATGTATGAAATATATTGGCTTAAATGTGATTATGCAAAGGATTTAGAAAGTAAGAAATGTTAGATTCTTATGTTAGATTCCTATTATGGTGGGTGAGAAGGTGAACTCAAGATCTCTTTAAGATAAAAAAAAATTAGAAACCATGCACCATCTGCTTTAGCCATCTGGTTTGCAGTGAATAGGGCAACAGGGGCCAAAGGTTATCTGGTAATTGAGGTGCCTGGTCGAGGTAAATGTAAGATATATGGTTACTTGTCTGCCATTTATGGATACAAGGAAATATAGCTTTTTGTCTCCCATAAAAGGGAATAGGAAATGGGTGTATCTTTTATGATTGGTTCTAGCAAACAGCCAATAGGAATTTCAACCAGGCTGATTGGACAGAGGCAGCCAAAGGAGGAGCAAGGGGGCTGGGCTGAGGAAATATAAGTGCTGGCCATCAGGGCTGGAGTAGGCAGAGCTTTGGTATCCATATACCACTGTGTCTCTCATTTATTTGTCTGACAAATAAATTATTATTTTAATTTCTCTATTGCTGCGTTGAATATTTCATTCCAGCTAAGCGTTAACCACAAGCAGGGTGCTACACTGTGTGTCATCAGCATATTGCTGACAATGTAACTCCAAAACACTAGATGACTCCACTCAGGAGTTTTATGTAGACAACTCAGGACTCCAATATCTCAGGACCACCTGTCTCCTTAGGAACTTATCCGGGTCCTGAGATCATCCTCTGAGGCCCTTTTTTCACGTGTCCCCTCCACAAGAGGTCCAGAGGGACACAACATGAGAATGGGCCTTTTCTGCAGTGACTCCCTATTTGTGGAATGCTCTCCCCAAGGAGATTCGGCTGGTGCCTATATTATGCACTTTTAGGCACAAGGCAAAAATGTTCCTCTTCAACCAGGCTGTTGGCTGAGTAACATCAGATGCCCTTTTAAATGTGTTGTTGGAGGGGGACATTACTGGTTTGTTTTCGTTCTTATTTTTATTACGTATTTTGTGTTTTTTATATTATAATTTTATGTTGTGAACCACCCTGAGATCTACAGATGGAGGGTGGTATACTACTACTATTAATCATAACAATAAGTTAAACAGCATGTTCAGTAACATTAGACCCTGAGGAACCCCACATTGAAGGCTCCACAGGGCTGAAGAACAATCCCCAAGCATCACCCTCTGGAAACATCCATCCTAGTAGGACTGGAACCACCACAAAGTGGTGCCACCTCTCCTCAACTTTGGCAGATACTCCAGAAGGATACCATGACTCATAGTATGAAAAGCTGCTGAGAGGACAAGGAGAATCAACAAGGAGCCGTTTCCTTTCTCTCTCTCCCAACAGAGGTCATCCTACAGTGTGACCAAAACAATTTCCTCCAAGAGTGCCACAGCCATCTGCTCAAGAACCTTCCCCAAGAAGAGGAGATTGGCAACTGGCTGGTAATTACTTAGACATATACACATATTTGATGGGACACGGGTGGCGCTGTGGGTTAAACCACAGAGCCTAGGACTTGCCGATCAGAAGCTCGGCGGTTCGAATCCCCGAGACGGGGTGAGCTCCCGTTGCTCAGTCCCTGCTCCTGCCAACCTAGCAGTTCGAAAGCACGTCAAGGTGCAAGTAGATAAATAGGTAGGCTCCTGCAGGAAGGTAAACAGCGTTTCTGTGTGCTGCTCTGGTTCGCCAGAAGTGGCTTAGTCATGCTGGCCACATGACCCGGAAGCTGTACACTGGCTTCCTTGGCTAATAAAGCGAGATGAGCGCCGTAACCCCAGAGTCAGTCACAACTGGACCTAATGGTCAGGGGTCCTTTTATACACATATTTAAAACTTTTAAAAAAAAATATTAAGAGCATCTAAAATTAGGAGCACCTAAAAACCTTTAAGGGTGACTGAAAACATTTTAAAAACAGCACATACCTTCATGTTTCAGGTGGAGGAAATGTGACAGACTCACAGAAGGCAGGAGGGACATTAGGGCAGGTGATAATTGCAGTAAGTCTAGCTTGTTGCAGTTGCCTCCTCTGGACCTTGAGAACACGTCTTGATTGACTCATACTGCAACATCATTTGTTGCTCAGACCTTCAATTATAATCCTCCTGGGACTCAGCTAGACTGGTAAAAAAAAAAAAACAATTTAGATGCATTGTGTGTGTGTTATACTTTGGCCACCTCATGAGAAGAGGAGACTCTCTGGGAAAAGCTCTGATGTTGGGTACAAGGAGAAGGGGATGACAGAGGACAAGATGGTTGGACAGTGTTTTAGAAGCTACCAACATGAATTTGATGAAATTGCGGGAGGCAGTGGAAGACAGGAGTGCCTGGCGTGCTCTGGTCCATGGGGTCACGAAGTGTCGGACACGACTAAATGACTAAACAACAACACCTCAGGTTAAGAACTTAATTCGTTCTGGAGGTCCGTTCTTAACCTGAAACTGTTCTCAACCTGAGGTACCACTTTAGCTAATGGGGCCTCCCACTGCTGCCGCACGATTTCTGTTCTCATCCTGAAGCAAAGTTCTTAACCTGAGATACTATTTCTGGGTTAGTGGAGTCTGTAACCTGAAGTGTCTGTAACCTGAAGCATCTGTAACCCGAGGTACCACTGTAGTTTCCTTGGAGAAGCTAACTGCAAACGGAAAGTCAACAAGGTCTCTGCTGCAACACAAAAAATTGTGGTCACACGGGAGACCTTTTTTTGACTTGCATGAACAGTCACATGATGAATCGCCTCATTCCAGTCCAGTACAATTTTATTTGGAAGAATTATTGAACTTATTTGGCCTTTTGCCTCTTCCTCATGCCCTTTCTCTCTTTTGCTCTCTCACCTGTCTGAGTTGTTGGTCTCCTTACAATAGTTTTGCTTCTTGATGATTTTGTGGCCTATGTGTTTGCATGGTGTGTTTTTTTTTCCTTTCCAGGGGCCTGGTGCCCTTCTTAAATGCACTTCCCGCGTTATAGGAATAAAAATGCAAAAAGATAAGAAGCAATAATAAAGGGAGGCAGGGAGAAATCAGGACTGTTTCTCGCTAGAAAACAGCTTCACGTGGGATATTATTTCATGTCAGATGAGTATCTCCTGGAAGAGCTGAGAATTTGTCCGCAGTGAAGGTGTGAAAGATGAGCCACTTCTGAACTTGCTAGGAAACCATTAGCATCCACAGAGGGGGCTTGCCAGGATCCCTCACCACAGGAATCTCTGCGATGGTTTCTGTGCATTGAATTTGAGGGGAGGGAGAAGTGGAATGTAATGCTGGAGTTTCCTGTGCAGTCACAGAAAAACTCTTCACTATCACTTACTCTGTTTATTTGTCGCTTTCCCCACAAAAGTGTCTCAAAGCAATGCAAATGTTAAAAAAGAAAAGTAAAACCAAGTATAGGAGATTGAATTAAGGATACAAAATGTTCATCCATGAATTTATATTCTTTTTTTGGTTTTTTTACGCTGTGATACGTAAGTCAAGGGGAACTTTCTGTTCCCTAATTTGTTCTCTGTTGTTGGAACTGCAGGAAATGGTCTTCTGGCAGTGGTTTGTCCATATAGCATAGAATCATAGACATGTAGAGTTGGAAGGGACCCCAAGGGTCATCTAGTCCAACCTCTGCAATGCAGGAAGCTCAGCTAAACCATGGTGGCCAAAAGGCTGAGTTATCAATCATTATGTTCTAGGAAGGGAGAACCCAATTCAGATTCTTCCTATTTTCCATTTGTTCCATTTTTAAATTTTGTTCTCCATTCAGTTCTGCAGCATGTCAAAGTTCTTCTTTTTTTAAATCCTCATGAAAATTCATCAGAATATAGTGCAAATTTCTCCCAATATGTACATTTTTATGATTCTTTCCCTTTTTATACACAATTTGCAAGCATTTCCCCCTAATCTAATTCATTTTTCCATGTCATTTTGCTCAAGTGCAAATCTTTATGCCCACTTTCCCCCTAATACTGTTTGGTTGGAGAACTGTTTTGCAATATTCAGAAGAGGGCGAATAGTCGAAGGATATTTGTGTTTTGTTTAGCGGATTGGTTTCTGCTTTTCAGGCAGTTTCACCCAGAAATTCATGATAGAAACATGGGCTGAATAAGAAGCAATACACCCCAACAACCACCACCCCAAACCCATTTCTCCTCTTTACCTCCTCCTTCATAGACCATTCAAACACCTGGGCAGGTTCTCAGACAAGTGGCTTTCCATCAATCTCAACTTCTCAGTGTGTAGCATAGGAGTAATAAAAACCAAACTTCAGCAGAACATCAAAAGAAAGTTGAGATAAGAAGCCCAGTTCGATGGTTTCATGTAGGATAATCCATCTTTTTATTCTTCAGCCCAACTACCCACTGTTAAGGATATATCTATGAGCTAAATAAAGTGCAGGTCTGCAAGCATGTTTTGCTTTAATTCCTTCCCCAAATTGGGTAGTGATCCTGGTTATTTTTGTCATCGGCATTCAGCAACTGAGTCATTTCATGGTCTTTTGTCTCAGCCCCCCAATTTAGTTCACGGCAGCTGGCCAACTCACCTTTGGGCCTGCCGTCATGGATCAGGAGCAGAGCCCCTTTCTTTTTTTCTTTTTTTTTAAATAATATTTATTAAAGTTTCAAAAGAAGAAAAATCACATTAATAAGAAAAATAACAATAAAAAGGAAAAATACAAAGTACAAAAAAGAAAAAACAGTTAAAAACAATTCCATCTTTTCATCACTTCTTTTACGTTTACTTGTTTCCAGGACCTCCTCATACCTCCTCTTTTTGTATTCCAATTCAATTTGTTAATCCAACAATTCCTTTCCCTCCTTTTTAATCCTAATCTTTAATCTTGATATATTATAACATTAAATTTTTACATATTAAAAACCAATTTTCCATATTCTTTTGTACCTGTACAGCTAGAAACCACTTAACTTCAATCCAACATCATTCTAACATTCATTAATTTTGCAATATTTCTGTAAATAGTCTTTAAATTTCTTCCAATCTTCTTCCACCGACTCTTCTCCCTGGTCACGGATTCTACCAGTCATTTCCGCCAATTCCATGTAGTCCATCAATTTCATCTGCCATTCCTCCAGTGTGGGGGAGCAGAGCCCCTTTCAAACCGCTGTGCAGAAACCATAACAGTAAACACATATTTACATACTTGAGTATGCATGTTGCACAGTCGCACCGATCTCCTCTGAATCAACCCCTCTGTCAAGCAGCAGAGGCCCACAGGAGAAGCCGAGCCTGTCTTCCAGAATAAATTGAAACATCCTGGTGAACTCAAATGAAAGCTAACATCCTCAGTGGCACAGCCAGGCATACGTGGCATGCTCTGAACTGAGCTACCATAGCAGTCCCATGAGCAGCCTGATTTAGCTCTGCTGCATACATGGTATCTTGCTTTTAACACTGTAGTTTGGGGATAAGGGACTTGGGACTCTGCCATGTTCTGAAAGCTACTAGAAACAAAAATGACACCACGCACAAGAGGGAGGCATCAGTGGTGGAGGTTATTTTATTAGGGCAAATGGGGGCATTGGTCAACCCCATCTGCTCTCAGTCACCTTAGTGCTCCTCTAGGCCCCGAAATGCTTCTTGGAATTGAGTGCTATGGTATACCTACAATTTATTATTTTTCAATGTTGTAGATAGTCAAGCACAAAAATATTCATGCTACAAATATTGATTGGGTAAAACTAGTCTTAAATATTTCACATTCCACAAGAGGAAATGTTTCATAGGAGTTTTTGAGTATTCCCTCAAATGTTCAGTTTTCCTGTTGGAAAAACATGGGGAGGGGCACTTTAAATCCCCCCCTCCCAGGTTTTACCTCTCAAGTTGAGGATTTTCAAAAAATTGTTTGTAGTACTGTCAGGGACCGTGCTGAGGAGGGCTGCACTGAGGAAGAATGGTGGGAGCCATCCTCTCCCCCTGATCCTGAATCTTTCCAGGAGCAGGAGAACAGTATAGATTTGGAACAATGGTTTACAGAGGGGCATAGCTCAGAAGGCAGAAGTTGGGAAATACTGGATGGGGAACAGCTAGCAGAAGAAACACTAGAAGAGAGAGTTAAGAGATTCGCAGCCTCTGGACAGCATCCACCCCACTTCTTCGAAGAAACGGAGAGCTCAGAAAGTGTTAGAATAGAAAGTGCACAGGGCACAAGCTCAGATTACAAGACATAGGAGTGATGGAGGGGGGAGTGAACCTTAATTGGAAGCACCGCCATTTCTAGTAGACATGTTCTTTTCTCTCTCACTGTGATTATTAAAGAATCTAACTGGTAAGACGTTCCTTTCATTTGATTTATTCTTATTTATCCAGCCACGGGGGAGGAAACCGATTCCCTGAAGCCTGACAAGTACTCTTATTAGTAAACTGCCTTGAATGGGATGTATCCTAGAAAGGCAGGATATAAATGCCTTATAGGGAGGAGGAGAGTGAGGACAAAACTAGACTGTGATGTCTCATGTGGGTCATTGGCCTATTGAGGGGTGCTCTGCCTTTCACAGCCCACAAGTCCCAATGTGCACCAGCAACTCGAGGGCATCAGCAGACATGAGCAACTCTGAGGTTTACAGGGATCCATGCCCCCTCCCAAAAAACCTGCCCAATGAGGATGCTGTGGCTACAGAATGCTGTGCGGGGACGACGACGACCTATATTCTGCTAATTATAGCTATATATCCCACCTTTCCTCAAAGGAGCTCAAGGTGGCATATATGGTTCTACCTCTCTCATTTTATCATCACAAGGACCCTGTGAGGTAGGTTAGGATGAAATAATATGACTAGCCCAAGGCCCCTTGTGAGCTGCATAACTGAGTGGGGATTTGAACCCCGGTCTCCCAGGTTCTAGGCTGGTACTCTAACCACTATACCACACTATAAACCAAGGTAGGAAATTAAGATCCCATAAAATAGGCACATGCGCACACTCAAAATAGGAAGCCCAAATAACTTCTGTTAAAATTCCAGGGACATCGTCCCCCCCCCCTTTTTTTGCACTAGCTAACTCTGGCAGCTGAATGATGGTGACAGATACACCTCCACAGAGCGCCTTAGGTGTTAGTGATGCTATTATCTGCTACAAGAAACTCAGGAATAATCCCTATCTCAGACTCAGCAAGATATTTAGTTTCCCGGGTTATGGACACGGTGACTCAAAACAGATGAAGTGCCCGGCGGTGGCTGTGTCAGGGGGGAAATAAAT